CGGCTAGGTTCGCCCTGCCATTGTCTACCTCCGCGGACAGTGGGCAGGAAGGAAGCAGCGTCCGGAATGCTCCTTCTGATGGAAGCACCTGGTCTGCGGCAGGATCTGAGCTTTGGTTGCTGCAGCTCTGATCGCTGTGCCGACAGTGCCACACAGCATGCCCCCGCCCCCCGCCCCGCCCCGCTGCGCTGCGCTCTCACTCGGGGGAAGGCGTCGCGCCGGGCATGGAGCACCAGGCGGCACGGGTTACGGTGATGACTATTATCGTCGTTATCGTTATTATTTCTTTTTATTGATTTGAGACAGAGAAAAGGGAGAGAAGCATCGATTTGTTGTTCCCTCGACTGATGCGTCACCAGTTGAGTCTTGTGTGTGTCCTGACCGGGGATCGAACCTGCAGCCCTGCAGCACAGGGACGACGCTCTAACCAGCTGCGCCACCCGGCCCGGAGCCACTGTCTTCAACTCCTAACCAACTATAACCGCGGCGGGTCTTCAACGGCTTCTGGATGTTTCTGGACTCGTGCATTTCCACCCTGGCTGCAGGCACGTGTGCATGCACACACACGCACACATGTACACACACACGACTACATGCACACTTACCCACACATGCACACAGGCATATATAACCACGTGTGTACAGACACGCACACACACTTGTACAAAACCTCCCTAGCACACGCCCAGTGCAGCCAGGGCTGAGATCCACTGCAGACACTGAGTCCACCGTGGTCCCCAGTAGAGTCACAAAAGGCAGACTGGAAACCACGAAAGAGCCCATAGACTGCACCACGGAAGTCACGCAGCCGGTCCCCTCCTTTGAGAGCGGCGGGCGGGGAGGCAGAGCAGGCTGCACCCCATAAAGGTCGGGGCAGGGGGGGGTGCCGGAACCAGAACTCACCTCCCAGTTCCAAAGGGTCTGTGATGGCTGCACTTTGGTGAACTGCATCTTCCAGACAAACGAGAAGACTGCCACGGAAAGCAATCCTGAGAAGACAGTCACTCGCACAGCCCGACAATGCCCCGAGTGCGTCTGTCTGTGTCGGGATCTGGATTCCCGTGCGCGAGCTTTCTCGGGAGGGAGCCGACTTACAGCTTTAACGTTAAGCTTTGGCAAAATCCAATAGAAGAGGGCAAATCTGGGGCCAAAATGAGCACCGCGACCCCTAAAGCCGGATTCTGGGGTCTTCGTTCGCGTGGGATTACCAGCACCGAACAGAGAAGTTTCTAAACCTGGACAGAGGGTGAGGGAGAAAAGCAGAGCGCAGGGCTGGAAGCGACATCAGGGACGGTGTAACTTCAGTGACGCCCTTGGGGGAAAAGTCCTCTCGCACCGGCGCGCCCCGGCACCAGCAGGACGGTGAGGCCGAGCCTCCAAGGCCATGCCAAGCAAAACCCGGCATGTCCGGGAGAGAAAGCACGTCCAGCACTGGCTGCCCGTTAACACAGAAACACGAAACACCTTGCTAGCGCTTTTGCAACCGGAAGGTCGGTCCCTCCACACAGAACCACGGGAAAGGGAGTTTTGGCGGGATGGAGGCCAGAGCTCAGAATGTGCTACAGAAACCTGGTCGGTGGCGCCGGGGCGGGAAGGACTGGGCGGGAAGCGTGGCAGCCGGAGCAGCTGGAGGAAGGGGGAGGGGACACCACGGAAAAGGCCGGAGCAGCCCTCCGCCCCACGCCCACCTCGCCTCCTTCCGTTTTGGCGCGTCTGATCTCAGAGCGCAGCTCTTCCTGATGGGAAGTTCCCACAGACAGGACGCCGTGAGCGGCCAGGTTTTCTCCCTGGGAAGATCAGCGTCACACATGCTGTTTCTGCGGCCCCCTCCTCGATCACACTGTCGGGCGGGGACCCCGAGCCTTCTTCCCTCAGCGGCGCGGCACGGCCCTCTGAGCACAGGGAGCAGGGACGCTGGGTCGTGAAGGGCGGCGTGCCCAGGGAAGTGGCTGTTCCCGGCTCCCACTGCCTGGGGGAGTCTGCCGCCACCTTCCGTCACTCACCGGTTTTCCCACTACGGATCCCACCTACCATCGCGCGGAAGTCGTAACACGGTAACACACAGTTCCGAATGCCTCTACAACCTCACCCACCCTTCCACGACAAAGAGAAAGAGTGCGGGATTAATGGCACTCCAGGGGCACCTACCACAGCATCTGGTACGAGCACAGAATCGATACGCGTGTGTTTAATGGTTCCTGGTTTGCTGGGCAGATGAATGAATGGGTGGGTGAAACATGAAGTCTCTGGTAATTTGCCTTTTGCACCTAAGCCATGAGTCCGGGACTAACCGAATCACAAACGCCCGATCCCTCTTGCTGCTCTCTCTAGATTACAATGTTTCAGCTGAAATAGTCCCTTTCTTCTTCTTGGGGTTGTGCGCTTGTTTGGGTTTATCCTCTCACACGCGCTTGATCCATCTCCGCTGGAGCCACAGGCCTCACTTCCGCGCAGCCTGAGGCGGCTTGGGTCCGACTGGGCCTGCGAATCCGATCTGGCCCCGGGGAAGCGTGGAGTTCTTCCGCCTTGCGAAAGGGCAGGCAGCGAAGGCCAGATTGAGGAAGCAGGAAGGAGGGAGCAAAGGGCGGTGCCTGGGCACGCAGAGCCCAGACACACACCCCTGACCAGCCCCCCCAGCACAGGGAGAGACGGGAGGCCCCCGCTGAGCAGCAGCGGGATTACCAGGAGGTCAGAAGAGAGACAGATTCCCCAAGACACAAGGGGTGGGGTGGACAAGGGGGTGACCTGGCCACAGCCAAGTGGATACGTGTGTGGTGGGAGGCACCGTGGCGTAGTGATGACCTCAGTGGGGCGTGCCACGGCAGAGAAAGGTCCCGCGGTCCAGGCCGGGTGAGGGCAGACCTGACCCCTCACGCCGAGGGGTCAGGCTGAAGGCAGGCGGGGAAGGGACTGAGTCGCTTCAGAATCCTAGATTCTCAGACTACCCGAGACACACGAGTCTGGCAGTAGGGACTTCGTGGTGACACGGGCAAAGCACCAAACTCAAAGCCAAGAGGCCCCCTGTGGGCGGGCGGCGGGGGCACCTTCTCCAGACCCGTCAGATGAGGGGGGGTGAGGTGGGGGGGATGGGGGGGCCAGGAGCAGTATCCAGAACTGAGCTGACAAATAAACTCAGCAGTTCACAAAACAGATTATTCGTTCCGTATTTTTCTAAAACAAAAAAAGAGAGAGAACCAGAACACATTCTGCCATATGCCCTGCCCACAGCGGGGAACATTGTACTGTGCACCCCAGATCTGGCGACACAGGCGTGTGGGCATGTGTGGCTCGATCCAGATGTACAGCGTGTCTCTTACCGCGGGGTCCCAACTGAAAAAAAAAAAAAAAGCGTGGCAAGCACAGGACGAGAGGACGAGAAAGATTTCTTCGAATTCTAGGGTTTCTCCTGTTTGACAGGTGTGTGTCTGCCAGCCTAGACAGGAGTTCCGGCATAAAAACTAAACACACCGTGGGCAACGTGAAGACACGCCCTCGGGTGACCCCCACCCACGCGTGATGGGAAGCAACGCCCTCGGTTCAACTCGGGGTGACCCCAGTCTCCAGGAAGTGGCTACACCTCACCGACGTGGCGACAGGGGCACACCTGTGTGCTCAGGCCCAAGGCTGGGCCTGGCCCCCGGCCGGGCTTGCGTTCCGACGCGGACAGGCACCGAAGGGGACACTTGATTACACAACCTGCTCGAGGCAGAACCGTCCTGTGTCACCTCAGAGTCCTCTGTCGCCAGCCCTCATCTTTGACACACCGTCAGCAACGGCAAATTCTAGCGCTCCGTGCGCCTGGCGCCCTTCTCCGGCACAGGTGGCTCTCAGGGACTCGTGGGTTCTGGCTCGGCACCCCCACCTGCCACCTTCTCCCCCGCCTGGGGGAGCCAGGGTCCACGTGCAGCCAGGACCTCGGGAGAACGCCAACAAGCCACACGCATGAAACCTTAGGTGCTTCCCAGGTGGACAGGCCACCTTCCCAGCAAGGCGGGGGGTCATTTGTGAGGCTGTGAGCCCACGGGATGCCGACCAAGTCGGGTGGAAGCCCGGCGAACACGTCTTAGAGAAACACCGTGCGGGGGTCCGTCCACCGCCCTCACGCCCCATCCTTCCGCGGGGCCCTCCACCCGAAGGGGCGAGGTGTCCTCACAGACACATGCCGGGGGTCCCCACCGCCGCCACTCGGAGCGGGCTGAGGGGAAGTCGTGGGCGCAGAACAGAACACGGGCCGCGAGGGGATGCGACCTGCCCGCTTTGAGTTAAGAATAAAACTCAAGTTTTCTGCGTGACGGACACTCTGCTCCTCCCCCTCCCCACCCCAATCTGAGCCTGGCCTGGAAATGGCCCTCCCTCCAGGAATACGTCCCAGTCCTCGTGCGAATGCTAATCCAAGGTCAAGAGGATGCCCTGTAAAATCCCCCCTCATCCTGGGTGTCGCAGAGGCTGTGAGGAGGGCCCACGTGGACAGCCACCCTCAGGTCCCGCCGCACTCTGGCCCCACCAGGCCCAACTTCACTCCACCGGCCCTCCAGCTCCGGCCCGAGCTGCCCAGCTGCCCCACAGAGCACTGGACAACCGGACAGCCTCTGGGAAGTCACCCCCTCTCGCCCCCTGATCTCACAAGGAAAGGAGGCGTCCAGGCGGCCTGTGCCTTGCCCAAGGTCACTTCAGCCTCGAGTGGCCAGCTCACACAAACTGAATGGGAACCAAGTAGTTTTCTTTCCGCAGGTACTTAAGCACCCCACCCCGACACCCGAAGACCTGAAGCTGGGGGGCCGGTGGCTCCCAGGTGTGCCCACGCTGGCAAAACCCTCCAAGTCTGGGCTCTCCAGGAAGCTCAGGGCTGGCGCGGTTATGGGGAGGAGGAGGCGCTGGGGGAAGGCCAGGGCGCAGGAGGAAGCGAATCCACAGCGGCCCGGGGCTCTCAACTCGCCCCTGGCCAGGAGGGCCCCCACCCGCCTCCCGCCGCCGCAGGCCCGGCCACCCCGCGGGCTCACCGGGTGCGGAGCGCCTGCCAGGCGGCGTCGATGTCGGCGTAGAGGTTCTTCTCGGAGGGCCGGCCCGAGCTGACACCGTAGCCCGAGTAGTCGTAGGAGAAGATGTTGCAGTTGATGCGCGAGCCCAGGCCGATGTAGAAGCTGCACATCTGGCCCAGGTCCACGGCGTTGCCGTGCGAGAAGAGCAGCGTGTAGCGGCTGGAGGGCGCGCAGCGCACGAACATGCAGCCCAGCCGGTTGTCGCGGGCCGTGCGCGAGAAGAAGACCTCGACGGCGTCCAGCTCGCGCTGCGAGTACTGCCAGTCGGCGCGCTCGCTCAGGTGCAGGCTGCACGCGCCCGGGCCCGCGCCCTCCTCGGCCGCCTGCGCCGCGGTGGCCGCGGGGGCCGGGGCCGGGGCGGGCGCGCCGGGGCCCGGGCCGCGCTGCTCCGGCGCCAGCACCGTGTAGGTGGGCTCGGGCGGCAGGAAGGCCAGCTTGGCGGCGATGCGGCTCGGGCAGGGCGGGCAGCAGAAGAGCCAGCACAGCTCGCCCAGCGAGAAGCCGTTCATCCTGGGGCCAGGCTCGGGCATCGGGACGGCCTGGGCCCGCCGCCGGCCGGGCAGGCAGGCAGGCAGCGAGGCGGCGGGCGCGCGCGGGCGCGGGGAGAGCGCGGGCGGAGGGGGCGGGGCCGGCGGCGGCCGGGGCGGGTCAGCGGCGGCTCCGCGGCTCGGGCGAGGGGCGGACGGCCGGGACCCGCGCGCCGCGCACAAAGCCGGCGGCCATGGCTGCTGCGCGCCCCCCGCCCGCCACCACTTCCGGGGCCCGCGCGGCGGCGCCACCCCCGGACGCGCTCGGGGCGGGCACCTTCCCCGCCCGGGAGCCGGGACCTGGGGCTCCGCGCGGGGCAACCGGCCGAGCCCACAGCGTCCGCTGCAAAGGGGTGTCCTCGCGATCGGAAAGCCCCCCTCGCCCTGCTCCCCGAGGTTCCCTTCCCCAAACCCGAGCCCTGTGCTGCAGGGGCCTTGGGAGTCGGCTGGGCGGGAGGAAGAGAGTGGGAAGGCCCGCGAACTCTTGGGGGGCGCTGCTGCTTTCCCAACTGCCTCTTCCTGAAGTTTCTGCCCCGGGAGGGGTTGAGTTGGGGGGCAGGACGCGGCTGCACTGTCCCGCAAAAGGGGCCGTTTCTGCAGACGCGGCGACGGCACACCTCCCTCGCCCGCCCCCGGGTCGGTGAGAGTCAGCCAGGCCCCGGGCGCCCCTCGCGGCCCAGCCACGCCGGGACCGTTCCCAGGCCCACGTGCACTAGCCGGCGCCTCTCCCACAGTAAAACTACGGGCCCGGTGCCGGGCTAGCTTCTCCCAGACCTGTTTCGAGTCCGGGATTTTGAAGTGGTCTTCATCATGAGAGACATTATTAAAATGATTTAAATTCACTGTGATTTGGGCACTCTTCTCTCATGTAGTCTTCCCCCCGCCCATCTAACTCAGCACTTGAACCTGAGTGTGCGCTGGTGCAAACTTCTCAGAGCCTCCCGGACTTCCTTGTTCCTCCGGGCCTGGCAGCCTAGTTCCCTTTCAGGAATGCACAGGAGGTGCCCTGCCCCGACTGCCAGCAGGGCCGGCTGGGGACGAGGCGGCTGGCAGAACCGCCTCTCCGGGCCCGGTGCTGTCCCTCCCCCACAGACGTGCTGAGAAGCATGGACTTTCGCTGCGGCTTCCGCGGGAGTGTTTCTGAGCGCCCATCATCTCTGAGAATCTGCCCATCCTGATCTCAAGAACCTCGAGGGCCTGCTTTTTAAAGACCGTTTCTTCACTCGCATAACCTTTAGATTGTTTTCGGAACGACCCCAGAAACGTGGTGAAAGGAGAACCTGGTCCGCAAGCCCCTGTTCCGACTAAATAGTCCTCAAGTGCCTTTTAAAGTTATTCCTACTCGATGACGTTTCACCGAAAATCAAATTTTTCGCCTCTCAAGGTTGGGTTTCCTTTTTTTAAAGAAAAGGGGGGGCTAAAACTTGCTACAAGTGTGTCTGCACACAGCTCACTTCCCGTGGTCTGCACACATTCGTGGTGCGTTTCACGCCCACAGCTCCCTCTGTAGCGAGAGCCACGAAGGTGATGCGTGGAATGGTCCCTACCCTCCATCACCTTCCAGTCTCCTCGGGGGAAAGTCAGAACACTTCTCCCGGGGCCTTAACAGAAGAAAAGGTCAGCTCCCCACAAAGAACCCTGGTCCGTGGTGCTGCTTCTGTGGGAGCTACGGTGGGAGCCACGCATGTTCCATCCCGGTCTGGTCCAGGATAAGGACAGGATTTCGGGAACCGAGATGGAAGAGCGTGTGGCGCGCCCCTCAGCCTTTCCCCCAAACGCCACTCGTCTCACCTGTCCTGACCAGACTCAAATAGCATGCAGTTCGTGGACAGAGTCTCAGGGAGGCGTCCTCTGTGCCCCTGATGGAGAACGCAGGTGTGCTATTCCGATGGCCTACGGCAGCGTGAACACCGTTAGGAAATTTTTAAAAGCCAGGTATGCGTTTATTTATACCCTGCCCCATCCCACGAAGGGTTTGTGAAGGGTCACAGTTTAAGACCAATAAATAAATATGTCAATGATTCATTTCTGTCCTCCGAGGAGGCCACGTGGACATGGGTGGGAAGGACGGTTATTCCCCAGGAAGGAGCGTTGGCTCAGGTTGGCGTGCAGATCGAGACCCTGGCGCTGTGCGCCCGTTCCTCCGCTCCGGGGATGCCGGTAGTCATGGCAACGCTCGTGACGCGCTGACGCGCTGTCCCCAGGCTCCGCCTCCCCAGGGCCCCGCGGATCTCACCTCTAACACGTCCGCAAGTAACGCGCCAGCGGGCCTTGGCGTGTTGGTGGGAAAGCTCGACCACGCAGCACGGAAAGAATAGATCGGCCCTGTAAAACACGGGGAGGTCAAGGATCACAAGCTGTCCGCTTGGCCCAGAAGGACTCCTGCGCGGCTCCTCCTCCCGTTCTAGTAGAGAAAGGGCGAACTTGGACTTGGGGATCAGCAAATGTATTTTCTAGGTACTCGCCATGCGTCTGTCACCGAGCCGAGGTGGGGGGTGCACAGGCTGAGAGACAGCACCCCCCCCCCCGCTGCCCTCCACAAGCCCACCGGGCGGTCTGCACCTCAGAATGACTCTGTCCTGCCAAGCCAGCCGGAGTTGGTGACTAAACCCGTTCCAAGTAGCTACTCACATCGGTCTCCACTACCTAATGCAGGCCCCTGACACCTTGAACTTTGTCTTCCGTACTGGGCGGCCTGATGCCGAGTTCCTCACAACCACCCCCCTTTACAAAGGTCGCACCGGGTCAGCCACAGAGGAGAAGGCTCCATGGTTCACTGGCCGCCGGAGGCGGGCATTCGCACTTGGAAACTGAGTCTGTGCAGACGGAGGGTAGAACCAACCTAGGGGGGCACTGCCCTGTTTCAATGTCCATTTCTGTTTGTTTTTTAACGTGGGCCAGCTGCTCTGTGAAGAGGGCAAGGGTCACGTCTGTTTTCCGTCTGCCCTGGACCCCCGCCCCCCCACCCCATGCCTGGCAGAGAGAAGTGGCTCGGTCGATGTACATTAAGTGGATAAATTAAAGGATGATTAAGGAGTGACTCGGTGCCTGCAACAGGCGACCAAGCCTGTTCCTGCTGGTTTGGGCCTCGGGGAAGAGGGAGGGCAGCCCCACGCAAGTGCCAGCAGCGCCCTGCGTGAGCTGTCCCTCCGTGTCCTCCGGCTAAGGAGTGGCACCCTCCTGTCCTTCTCACTGACGCAGCTGCGGCTTTGTTCCGGGCGTCAAAGCTCCCAGTCACGGTGCCCGCCGTGAGGACGGCCACGTGCCACGGCTCCGGCCAGTGACCCCTAAGGAGAGAATGTTGGGGAGCTTCTGGAAAGATGCACGGGGCCAGACTCGTCTGTAACGTTTCCCTTTGTTCCTAGTTGGGAGGCAGGCTTTGCTCCTAGAGCCGCAGCAGCCGCCTTGCAACCGCAAGGGTCACGTTCAGAGCTGAAGACGAAGAAGAAAGAGGAGTCCGGACCCTTCCTGGTGTTGCCCGAGAGCGGCCCCGCTCCGCCCGTGTCTGGGCCTCTCATTCGTTGTGTGAGAAAAAGGGGTCCCTCGATGGCACCGTGGTTGGGTGTCCTGTTACCTGTAGCCTCTGAGGCGGTGGATACCTGTCTGACTCAGCACTCACAGGCAAGAGGTCTTACCTCGTTCCCACCCGTTTCTCAATGAGGACAAAGGATGTGTTGTTGAGCGGCCGTGAAACAGCTGTTACGCCTACCTCCTGCTTCCTCCCCCAGAGAAAGTCAGTAAATGAGGACCGAAGGCGGGACAGACTTTGGAGGAGCTCCCCATGAAGCTAACCTCTGAAATGTACGGAAAAGAGACGCTCACTTTGGCAAGTGGTGTGACTGGCCCGTGCGGGCTACTCCAGGGGGCCCATGCCAGTGTCCATCAGGGCGAGGGGCCTGCCATTCAACCAGGAGCTTTTGTTGGTGACTTTTCCCAGCACCCGTGCCAGCCCGAGGGCTCTTATCAAAGGTGTGGTGCGTGAGGGCGGTGGAGCCCAGCTGGGGAGCGCTGTGGGAGCCCCAAAATGCTGAGGGCCATGCGGAGATAAGGACCGGAGATAAGACACGGCCGCCCACCGATGTGTTTTCACAGGCCCACCCGCCCACACACGATTACGTCCACAACTCTGCATTTCTCTCTGGTCTCACCGCGTCCTCTATCCACAGATTCGGAACCTGAGGCCCGGTGTCCCCAAAACCGACCATGGGACCCGGGTCTGGCCGGCTCTGTGCAAACAGGGCCGGGGTCCACCGTTTTCCCCACACCGCCAGCACCCAACACTGTGCCCCAGCCCTCAGCGACAGGAACTCAGAACGTATTTGCCGGGGGATTGGAAGTCAGGATTTTTATCATTTCTAATTGCTTTGTTTAAAAAATGGGCAAGCAGATAATAGACTAGGTTACATAGGTAACTTTTTGAAGTAGAAAGTGGGAATAGCCCCTCACATGCTGAGCTTACAAACCTCATTTTAAGAGGATAATAAACAACCCCACCCCATGGCGTCAACTTTAAGGGGTGTTAAAAATTTCAGAATTTTTTTTTCGTTTGTTGATTTTAGAGAGACTGAGGAGAGAAGAGAAACAGTGATTTGTTCTTCCACTCACTGATGCATTCATTGGTTGATTCTTGCATGTGCCCTGACTGGGGATCGAACCTGCAACCTTGGTGTATCAGGACAACACTCTAACCCACGGAACTACTACGCCAGGGTTGTTTTTTGTTTTTGTTTTTGTAGAATTTTGGATAGCTGCACACTGAAAGAGTGCATACGAATGACTCATCCATAGTGTGTTCCCAGGCATTTACAATAACAAATATAAAATATATGCTCCAAAAAACACCAATACCAGCCTAAGACCAGCCAACCCGAGCTGTGTGTACGTATTTCTCAGATGACAGAGTTGATACCTCCAATCAGTAGGGATGCTATTCAACTCCCTACCTGGGTGCAGAACACGGTTTAGAGAAATTCGATGAACAGCCGAGAGAAATATGACTGTATTTTGTTTTGGGGGAATGGTGTTGCTTTGACAAGGTGGAGGTGACGTGGTGTTCTGCAGGCAGGGGAAGGACACAGTGAGAAGGAGCTGGAGATCTGGGAGGGGACCAGAGGAGGCCATAAAGAATTAACAGCTCCAAGTTTCACCTGCAAAGTCAGCTGCAAATGACAGAGGAGAGGTGCGGCCACGGAGAGTGGGGGGCCCCAGGCAGGGACACTGCAGGTCCCCAGCTGGTGAGTGGATGGGCAGGTGGAGGGAGAAGGGTGTGGAGGGGTGAGCCCGGGACGCTGAGGTCCGGGTCAGCGCCCGGGTTCCTCGGAGCCACTTCCCGAAGGTTAACTTCTGCTGAGCAGCGGTGACACGCACGGAACCGGCCTGCCCGCGCGGACTTTCAGGAGGGGAGTCTCAGAACGAGGTCTTCTTCTTTAAAATTACTCACCCAGCTAAAGAAAGCGAAACCTAAGCATCCTGTTCAGCATGAAATCTGAGGGGAAAAAAACCACGGCCCAATGTAACACTCATCGGTCCCATGGGCAGCTGCAAAAATCATCTCTAACACATCCAGATCTGTCTTCTAATAACTTCCAGACGCCAACTCGGGGACGAGACGGATGATTTACAACGAAAGAGAGAAATCCTGGTGAGTTGGGCAGGGCAGCCGTGTCCCCTGTGAGTCAGACGTGGAATGACACAAGGATCCCATTTCCACACGGAGTCTGCCACAGACTCAGAGCAGGGCGGGGCGGGGGGGCGGGGGTGTGGGGCCCAGAACATGTGTCTGGATGCACAGCTGCGTTCCAAACGGCCTGAGACTGAGCAAGTTGTCTGCTGTGCGTTGATCGGTGTTTCGACAGGGGCTGCACATCGGAAGGGAGATGTGACCCATCCCTACACAGACGCACTCTGTGTCAGAACCTCCACCGTCCGAGTCCGGGCTCCGGCGCTGGGGGAACAGGAGAGGTGCTGGGGTTCTGTACTCGGCACCTGGGAGCCAGAGAGCCCTCCTCCTTTCCCTGCCCCGGCCGCACTGGGAGGACGGAGGGAGAAGGCCCGAGCCAGCTCAGCTCAGGGCGGCAGACGCCCGGGGCTGATGGAAAGGTGTTGGTCTAACTGGGCAAGTCCAGTCCGCGGACCCGGAACCAAAGACAGCGCCTTTGTGCCTGTGGTCAGCCCTGTGTCCCGGCGTCCCCTGGACCCGCACGGGCTCATCCTGCAGGATTTGGCTTTGGTGTGAGTGCTTCACCACCGCCACCGGGCCGAGTGACCTTGGACTTCAGTGCCCGGCGCTGTCACGGGCCCCTGGTCTGTGCCCTGCCGCTCCGTCTGCAAGATCCGGTTTCCCACGTATGTTGAAAGGCGCAGAGCGAGGCGGCCCACGAGGGGTGATTAAAGAGCGCTGTGAGCGTGCCAGATGCTATAAATAAGGGTAACACACTCGCTGAGAGGCGGCTTGGAGGACCGGGCCCCCTCCCCTCCGCCCTCGTGGCCCCTGGCCTTGGCTGCTGCGTGCCTCATGGTCACAGCAGAGTCCCAACTGTGGGTGACTTAGAAACTCCCCTGTATTTGGAAAATAGTGCCTCAGATGCCTTTTTTTCAAGTCTTAGAGCTTATTTGGTTCTCTTATGTAACCTCCACTAAAGGAACCACTAACCTATCACATTTCAAGCTACATAGAATCCAGAAAATAATGTGAAAAATATCTTGTCCTTTGCCATGTCAAATAAGGAAATTTTCAAAAATAAGTAAACACACACACACACACATCTGCCCTGGCTGGTGTGGCTCCGTGGATTGAGTGCAGGCTGCAAACCAGAAGCTTGCCAGTTGAATTCCCAGTCAGGGCACATGCCTGGGTTGCAGGCCAGGTCCCCAGCTGGGGGAGTGCAAGAGGCAACCAACTGATGTATCTCTTGCACATTGATGTTTCCCTCCCTCTCTTATTCCCTTCCCCCTCTCTAAAAACAATTAAAATCTTAAAAAAAATAAAAAGTGTGTGTGTGTGTGTGTGTATCTCCCCACAGCGTCAACCTGATCCAACCAAGGCTGCGTGTTCAACCCCTGGTCAGGGCATATGTAAGACTCAGTTACTAATGCACCAATAAGTGGAACAACACATTGATGTTTCTCTCCCCTCTTTCTCTTTCTATAGAAAATAAAACAATGAAATACAATGAAACAGAATAAACCCACAAATTCGGAGACTGTAGACAGGGAAGTCGGAACAAATCCACTTTGGATGCCTAAGTATTCGAGGAGCAGGAGGCCCAAGGAGTGGTGCTGAGACGACACGGCTGGACGGGAAGGACTTGGAGCGGGCGTCCACTCTGCAGCCCGTCCCGGCGAGAACCTCCCGCCCTGCCAGGCCCCGGCCTGATGTGCTCTTACGTGTTCTTAGCAGGTGCTGCGCACCCGCGAGAAAAACTGGGCCATGTCACACAAGGTGCAGTGTCCTCAACCGGCTCCCGATGCCTCTGACTCACGCCCCACCTGGCGGGGCCCCGACCCGACCACGCCTGGGCGTTGCGCGCAGCCAGGAGCGCCCATCCAGCGTCGGAGACAGGCCCCGGCAGGCGCACAGGCTCGGCCGCCCCGCCCTGCCTTCCCCGGCACTCCGCGGTGCTGGTGTGGAGTCGGGCGGGCGGGAGAGCCCGCAGCACAAGCCGGATGGGGAGGCCCCTCAGGGGGCTCAGGAACGGAGTGCGGGTGAGCGGGTGGGAGCTGCAGAGGGCAGGCCTCGGGGGGCCGTCCGAGGAGCCGACCCTCTCCAGAAATACAATGGGGGTGTCCTGGGAGGGTTCCCCTCCGTGGGGGCGGATCACGTCCAAGTCTGGTCTCCAGCAGGTGGAGTTGGGGGCCCCTTCGAGTCGAGGGGGCCGAGTCTGTGCTGCGGCTTTGAAACGCAGCAGGACACGCACTCGTTGCGGTGGGCACGGGGGTACGACGCGGTTGAACCCAGGTTCGGGGGGGGGTGGCATCGGAGGCGCCCTTCCCGCGGGAGAGCGCCCGCCGGAGAAGTCAGAGGGGGTGTTAAACCAGGGGGCGGGGCCTGAGTGCGGCCCGGGAGAACCGACCTGGAGCGGCAGTGGGACACCCCGTGGGGCCTGAGTGGCCGCCCCCGGAGCAGGGCTGGAGCCCAGGAGAGAGAGAGAGAGAGAGGGTGGGGGGAGCAGGGAGTGGAGCCTTGCCACGCAGGGTCCCCTCTTTTCTGAACAGAGCTTGTCCTCCGCACCCCACTGTCCCGGTCGGGAGGTTCTCGCTGGAACCGCCGAGTCCTTACATCCCCCCCGTGTCACTGTTGCGTGACCCAGACATAAGCCCGTGACAGGCCGGTGTCACGTGTTCGGGCGCAGTTTTTTCTTTAATTTATACGAAATTTCCAACACAGATGAAAGCAGACACAACAGCATAAGAAGCCCCCACGCTTCAAAAGTGACCAGTTCAAGGCCGATCTGGTTTCCGCTCCCCCTGGCTCCGCGTCCTCCCCGCCCGCAGTGTGCTGGGGCAGACGCAGGTCTCCGGGAATCCAGGAATTCGCTCTCGGGTGCCGGGAGGTGCGGGATGTCAACAAACACCAGGGATTTCTGCAGCCTCGTGTCCACCACATGGAGGAGGTCAGTTTCACGCAAGAGAGGATGAAACCAACACCAGGAAAAACGAGAGCGAGCCCTGTGGCCGGGTCGCTCAGTTGGTTAGAGCGTTGTTCCCATACACCAGGGTTGCAGGTTCGATCCCCGGTCAGGGCCCATGCCAGAATCAACCAATGAATGCATCAGTGAGTGGGACAGCAGATCAGTGTTTCTCTCTCTCCCTTCCCCTCTCTAAAACGGAGAAATAAAAGAAAAGGTTTTTTAAAGGAAAAGTGAAAGAGCGTCCTGGTAGCTTCTGAGCCTGTGTTTCCCAGTGTCCTGCAGGCTTCTCCGCAGTTCGGCCTTCAACCTGCGGCTTCCCCTGGGCACACGTGTCCCCTCCCGCCTCCACCAGGCCGGGCCGCTGACCGTCCCCACCAGGCCTCCTGACTGAGACGCAGCAGCCCCCACCTGACGCCAGGGGCCACACCAGGGGAGTGTGGGGATGGCGGGGCACAGCCCCTCGAGGACCGTCGGCTTCCCTCCGCCCCGGCCCCTCCTGACGACCTGGCAGCAGGAAGTGACCTCTCCCGCCTCCGACGCGGGCACTCCACCTGAGCACCCTCCTTCCGTGACTCATTCTGCTCCGCCCTGCGGCTGTGTGGGTGGGTGTCTGCTGGTGGCTCCCGGCCGGCCCCGACGCCTCCCGCGCACGGGTGGGTTTCTAGCCCCCACCCCAACCCCGACGCCACGCGCCGTGTGACGTGCTCGGGAGTGCACAGGGCCGGTGCCATCCGCGGTGCGAGAGAAACGGACGGACAGGGGTTTGGGGCGGCTTCTCTGCGGCCTTTGGAAGTCAAGTCTGTGCAGCAGCGAGGGACTGGACGGTCGTCGCGGGGAAACACAGGCGTCAGAAAGCCCCGGAAACTGCCTCACGGCGGCAATGTGACATTAACTCCGTGGGAGATACAGGCTGCCACGTGGCAGCCGCAGCTACGGCCCTTTTCGACAAGCCCCTTGACAAAACCGTGCCGGGCTGTGTTTTCCTTCACCTCGGAGCAGAGGGGCGTGTTTTCGGTGAATAACTCCTCCAGCTCGGGCGCGCTGGACTCACCTGGGGGATCCTGGGGAAGGCGGAGGCGGCCGCCTGAGCAGGTCTGGCCAAGGTCTCACGGGGCGGATTCCTGGGGCTCCTGTGTTGGTCCTTGGACCACTCTGAGTGCTGGGGATGTATACAGTGGTGCCCAAACACGGCTTCCCACCGAACACTACTGATGCCCGCGTCCTGCCCCCAGACACTGGCCTGGACTCCGGGCTGGGCCCTGGGCCTTGGGAATGCCGAGAGATCCTCAAGCGTTCTGAGGGCGCAGGCCTGTCTGGGAAGAACCGAAGCAAATTTGGCGCAGAGTTCGATTCAGGACAGCCGGACCCGAGTCCCCTGCCACCCGCTGGCCGGCGGGGTGACTGCGGGCACGCCGGTTGGCGGTGCACCGGTTTCTGAAAGGCCTGGAGACATGCGCCGTATCTCTGGCGGTCCCTCCGGACTCCGCCTCCCCAGGTGTGCGGTGAGGAGCAGGCTCCCCGGCCGCCCCGTCTCTGCAAACACTCTGAAGGCTGCAGGTGGGTGGGCACCTGAGAGTCACAAGTGTTTGGCAAAGGCAGACGTGGCTGGCCTGCACATTCCGCACCCGGTGCCTGCACATTCCACAGAGAGGGCTGGCCCCACGGGCGCCTGGGAGATAAGCTCCAGCTGTGGAATGTTCTGCCTGAGCAGGGTCTCCGAATACCAGGGGCCGTGGAGGACAGCAGCCGGCTGAAGTCCAGAGCGAGCTGCCTGCCGAGGGCCCGAGGTCGGGCCCTGTCTCTCTCTGACCTCCGAGGGGCTCAGGCCGGCCATGCAGGTGCTCTGTGACCCCCCCGCGCTGGTCCCTCCACGGGACCTCGCGGCTGCTCCGTGTGACCCTCGCACGCCGTCTCGGGGACAGTGACGTGCTGTTCCTGCGCGTCCACCGGGGGGCGACGGGGAGCGGCGCCTGGTCTCCCAGACGCGGCCCCTCACGCGGCTCTGCCAGCCCGGCTGCTGGCCCCCTCCCACCGGCGGCCCGCCCGCCCCCACACCGCGCTGCAACTGAGAGGAGCGGGCGTTTCTGGGCTCCTTCTGCCCCGGCTCCGAACCCGAGGGCGGCCCTGGGCGCCCCCGCACTGGGGCCCAGAAGGAACATAAAATAGTTCCGGCCGAAGCGCCCTTAGGACCAAAACCCTCCGACCTCCAGGCAACCACAGAGGAGGATACAGCCCGCACCCAGGTACCACCCCCCACCCCCTCTACGCGCGCGCGCGCGCACACACACACACACACACACACACACACACACACAGAATAAATGCGTTTTGTGACGTTTGCTTCGGTTCTTCCTCGGTTTGCTTTTCTGGACGAAGAAACGAACCAGAAGCAAACCCGGGTGTCCTGCTCGCCCGCCCCCGCCCCGGTGGCCGCGGCGAGCACGGCTCACAGATGGTCGAGCTGCTTCCCGCGCCGTGGGTCCCAGCGAGGGAGGGGCCTCGCAGGCTCGCCGCGTCCCCGCGACGCGGACACTCGCGTGGGAAACGCGTGCACGCGTGACTCGGCCTCGACGGTGGGGGGGTGGACTGGGTGGTACTTACTGGTGCCGGGCACGCGTGGACGCCGGGGGCCGGTCGCTCGGCGGCTGTCAGGGGCCTTCTGACCTTGGAGAGGGCAGAGGCGCGCTGAGGAGGTCCCTGCGCTTTCTGAGCGGCCCTGCCCGCGCACGCCCGCAGCTTTCCTCCCGGACGCGGGCGCGGAGGCCGCAGGCTCCTGCCCCCGCACCTCAGGCCCAGGGCTCGAAGGCTCTGGGCCTGCGCCGAGGGTGAGTGTGGGCGAGACTGGCTGCGGCGGCCGCCGCCGCACCTCGATAAACCAGTGTCTCCTAGACCCGGTTCGCGTCTGCAAGAGGGGGTGGCTTGAAAAGACTAGATGACCTTCCTTTCTTTAAAAAAATGTATTTTAGAGACAGAGAGAGAGGATGGGGGCGGGGAAGGGGCAGAGAGAGAGAGAGGGGAGCACTGGTTGGTGGTTCCACTCACTGGTGCCGTCACTGGTTGAGTCCTGTTTGTGCCCTGACTTGTGCGGGGGACTGAACCCACAACCCTGGCGTGGCAGGACAGCGCTCCAACCCACCGAGGCCCCCGGTCAGAGCAAGACTACGTGACCTTTCGAGTTCAACTCCCACATTCTAGGCCCGAAATTCTATGGACCTCAGAACAGCAACAACTGTGAACACATCCTGGGAACCTCTACAACCCATGGACCATGGCCAGACCGAATTACTGCCCTGCCTGGATTCCGAGGAACACTGTTTGTACAAGGTAAGGGGAAGAAAGGGGGCGGGGGCAGACAGACAGACTGTTCCAGGGTGGTCCTGCCTCTCCTGTTGTGAGCAAATTCAGTTCCACTTTCAACTCACCTGCAGCCAGGGCGCACCTGCGGAGCGCCAGGCAGTGTGCAGGGGGCGGGCAAGTGAGAGAGGACCCAGAGAGCGCCAGGGCAGCTGTGGGGGGGTGGGGGGTGTCCAGATGGGAAGGACCAGGGAGTCTTCCTGGCGGAAGTGGTATAGCAAACTGACTCATCTATGAGCATGTTCGTACAGACTCCGTGCTGTGCGCCGTGTATCCGAGGACCCTGGGACACCACGGTAAATGACAGAGCCCTCACACGCGAGGGGTCCCTGATCGCCTGCGACAGAGACGAACAAAGGCACAAAATCTTCTACAACCTGATGGCAGAGAAGATGAATGTCGCTAAAATGTTTTCAAAGGGCAGGTGACGATGTCCGGTCCAGACGCCGGAGAAACCGCCGAGGCAGGAGCACGGGCCGCCGCGTGTTTCTCGCCGGAAGAGCGTCCCCGGTGTGTGACTTCACACCCGGCCTTTGGCCGGGGAGCCAGAGGTGGGGTTTGCCGCGCATTCAACAATTGGGTTTTCCGTTTTTTCCTAACACGGAATCTGCGTCTTTCCCCGGAAACCACAACCCACAGGGGCAGAGAATAAATGAGGCGTAAATATAAACAAGAACCCCAGAAGGGCGGCTGGCAGAGACAGGCCCCTTCAGGGGACCTCCGACTGACGCCACAGGGAAGTCAGATCCGATGACTCACCGCCCCCCGTTAACTGGAGAAAAGGGGGAAACCCGGGGTGGTCTTGGAAACGGCGCGATGACAAAGGACTCCCGGCAAAGCCCCCTTCCCGGCACCTTCGCCCCCCCCCCAGCCACGGGCCGTAAACAAACAAAATCTTCTCTGGAATTTGCCCTTTCTTTCTTCGTCTGGATGACAGGCTCTTTCCATGAGGTCTGAACCGAGCCCAGAACCGCAGAGCTGGATGGAGAGTCTGGCTCGGTCGCCGCGGCGTGACCGGAGGTGGCGAATGCGACGGCGGTGTCGTTAACCCAGTTTAACCGCCTTGAGTCAGCCCCCTCCCCGGCCCCTCTGCCCTCACCCGTCTCCTTGAGGACCAAAGGCCCACCCAATGAACTCGGCTGGGAGCCACTTCCGAAAACCACGCTTCAGCCATGCAGGGGGCGAGGGGACCGACAGGGCAAGGGGTGGCCCGGGCAGACCCTCACTGCACACCCCGGTCCCCCCATGGGCCTCGCAAGCTGCGGCGTGGGTCCCACCCGACACAGTACGATGGCGGTTTCGTTGGTTTGGGACACGGCCTGGGCGTCCGGACGTCCAAAGACGTCCCTTCTCTCGTGTATGCAGGGGCGAGGCTCACTGACTTCACCGCCCCCCCACCAAAGATCGCCCTGTGGAAGACCCTTCTGCGGGGCCCCAGGGGTCAGAACCGAGGCCAGAGCGGCCTCAGTGTGGCCGTTCCGGGGAGCGAGGAGGGGGCGGGGCCCGGCCCGCGGGGGCGGGGATTCCGGAACCCGCACCGCGCACCGCACCCGGGGGCAGAGTCAGAGGGCGGGGACGCGCGGACGCAGCCGGGAACAGCGTCCAGGGGACGCGATGCTCTAACCGACGCGCTCTCTGGCCTGGCATCTCTCTCTCTGTCTCTCAACTTCCTCAAAGTCAAGGCCCCTTGAGGGCGAGGAGCAGAGGAAACGAAGAAATAAAACAGACCGCTGGGCTGGAAGGTCAGCGTCGAGGCCAGAAAGGCGGCTGTCCGGTGCGTGCGTCCCCTGGGGGCCGTGAGTCAGCGCGCACTTCCCCGGGAAGGCGGGGCTGCTGGGTGTCTGTCTCCCCGCGACCCCCCGGGGGCGGGCGAGGGGGGCCGCCCGCCCTCGCCAGGATGGCCACGCGTTACCGAAGACGGCGGCAGTGCGTCTTCGGGGATTAGAGAACGACGCATTGACTCATGTTCGTGTTTCCCCCAAATGTCCTGACAAAACCCTTAACCGGGAAACCGTTTGGCGGGAAAACGGATGTCGGGGTGAGTGAGGCACCCCCGCCGCTGTCACATTCGTCCTTTCCCGGGAGTTTCTGGAGTTCGGGACTCGCTGCCCCCCAGGGCGGTTCCTGTGAGCCGCGGGGTCTCCGGGCTGCTTCTCACACCGACCCCAGGCGGCCGAGCCCACCCCTAGGGGAGCGCGGCGCACGGCTGCCTCACGCCCGCTGGGGGGCGACCGTCCCGAACTCATTTTAGAGAGGGCCCCCTGCCGAGCCTGCAGGGCTGTGGGAGGCCTTGGAGAACGGGGTGAGCGGGACACGGTCAGCGCTCGGAGGGGCCCGCCCCGTGAGAAGCGCCCACGCCATTCCCACGCACGGTGGCACTCGCGCCCTGTGGAGCGGGGAGCGGGAACCCCTCGCCCAGGCCGGGGCCAGAGGAGCTGCCCGGAGGGGTAGCGCCCACGCAGGGTTTTGAGAGGTTGTTCGTCAAGGGGGGGCGGGGAGGGCCTCAGCAGGAGGGGCCAGAGACAGGGCAGGCAAAGATGGGGCCATGTTTTAAACGCCGGTGTGGACAGACGGAGGGGCACGTGGAGGGCAGGAAGCAGACTCCCAGGGGTGTGAAGTGCACCCCCGCCCCGGCCTGGGCTCCCTGCATCCCCAGAGTGTGGGTGTCTAGCCCTCCTATGCACGACAGCACTGGAGGTGGCTCAGTCTGCTGGAGCGTCACCCCGGTATGCTGAGGTTGCAGGTTCGTCCCCTGTCCGGGCACACACAAGAGGCAGCCGATGAATGCGTGTACACGAATGGAACAACAAATCAACGTTTCTGTCTCCCTCTCGGTAAAAATTAAAAACAAGCAACAAACCCTGAGCCCTGGCTGGTGTAGCTCAGTGGATGGAGTGCAGGCTATGAACCAAAGTGTTGCAGGTTCGATTCCCAGTCAGGGCACATGCCTGGGTTGCAGGCCATGACCCCCAGCAACTGCACATGGATGTTTCTCTCTCTCTCTCTCTCTCTCTCTCTTTCTCTTTCTCCCTTCCCTCTCTAAAAACAAAAATAAAATAAAATCTTAAAAAAAAAAAAATCCCTGGAGCAGAGAACACGCCAGAGGCGTCGGTACAAGGCTCCTGACCGCCCGGGGCCTGCCCACTCCCGTGGTTGGGGATGAGCACGACCAGACTGACCACTGCGCGGAGCCGGGTGCTGACCAGCGCGGCCCGTGCGCCTCAGACAGACCGCAGTCCCCTGCGTGGGCCTGGTGGCCGAAGACCGGCGACGGCCCCCGAGGGTGTCCGCCTGCTATTCATTCCCCAGAACCTGTGCCCCTGTTACCTCGCGGGGCCAGAGCCACCGTGCAGGCGTGATCTGGTCAGGGACCCCGAGGCGGGAAGCGATCCTGGGTTCGCTGGGTGGGCCTGCTGGCATCTCCTGTCCTGCAGGAGGGAGAGGGGGAGATCGGAGTTAGCGGCAGCGGTGGTGGCAGCAGAGGTGACCACGGAAAACCGGACTTTGACGTGACCCGAGGGAGGGGACAGGAGCCGAGGAGGCAGGGGCCTCCAGAGGCCGGAAAGGCCAGGAGCAGATCCTGCCGGCACCCCGGGGCCCCTGACGGGACCAGTGTGCCCACACCTGGGTTTTAGCCTCGTGAGCCGGGCTTCGACCTCTGACCTCCGGGGCTGCGGGAGGGCAAAGGGGCGGTGTCTTCAGCCGCTGCGTCTGCGGTGGGCTGCGGCGGCCCCCGGAGCCGCCTGCGTGTCGGACACGTTTTCCGTCACAGCGCAGCGGGCTCTGCGCGCCTCGGGAAAACTGACTGAGACGGCCACTGGGACTGAGGGCCCGTTCCGTCCTCTGACGAAATGTCCTCAGTGGCAGCACGCTGCCCTTACTGATTCAGTTCAGCACGTATTTGGGGGGCAGCCGACGCCAGGCAGTGTGACGGCTAAAACGTGGAGAAATGTGCTTTCCTGCGGGGAGCCCCTTCCAGAGCGGGAAGGAGGCAGCAGGGAGCCCACGCATCTCAGGGACGAGAGCGGAAAATGTACGTCCTCCTCCGAGGCTCCCAGCGCAGCGGCCGCAGCAAGGGGAGCCGTTGTCACCTGTGCTGCCGCCTGTGTGCGGAGAGGCGGCGGGCCCGGTGGAAGCTGGCCTGGGCTCTGGCTGCTAGAGAGCAGGGCGGGGCAGCCCGGGGGGCGGGGCATCCAGGGCGGGGGCGGGGCCTGGGAGGGGCACGGGCACCCCCCAGACGGCGCCCCGCCCCCCGCCCCCCTCGCGGGAAGAGACAGGCCGTCGCAGGGCTCCACACTGCCGCCACCTGCCGGGGGCCTCGGGACGCACCCCCGCGGAGGACCGCGGACGCGCACGCCCCGCCTCTTACCTGTCTCCCCGAGTTCCTGCGGGAGGGAGGCTCTCTCGGACTTCCGAGCCCGGGGGGCCTCCGCGTGGCGGGCTCGTCCACCTTTGCCGATCTGGGGTGTCGCCCAGCCCTCTCCAGGGCGGCTGGCCCGGGTCCGCCGGCAAAGGAAGCCCCCGTGGCCCCACACCCTCAGTCACCGCTGCGTCACCGGATCCGGTGCACCCGAGTGACACAGGCACGTCCTGTCTCGTCACCGTGAGGTCGGCCTCTTCGGACACAGCCGTGCGGGCCGAGCCCCCAGGAGTGCACTGCGCAACCCCTCGGTCACCTGCCCGGGGAGCCACACTCTGCCGGGTTTCCCGGCTGCCCCGCACACCCCGCACACCCCCTGAGCGCCGCCCTGGGGGTGCCCAACTCGCAAACACCTCCTTCCCCTCTGCAGGTCGGTCGCCCTTCCCCGCTTTGTCTTCAAGCGGACGTGCTTCCCAGTGAGTCGGCACACCGGGACTCTGTTGCACAACGCGTGCTCCTCCAAGCGCCTCGCTTGAGAAACGCTCCCGGACCTGGTGCCGGGGTCTGCCTCCCCAGGGGTTTTCCCCGGACGGGCTTCCGGACCACGCGCAGACGGCGGGTTCCTTCGCAGGGACGTGCGCGTTCACGCTGCGTTGCGCACGCAACGTCAGCCCCTCGCTGCTTTGCTTTCCCCCCTGCGCTCCCCGCCCCGCACCAGCCCCAACCCCCTCCCCGAGTGTGCGTGCCCGCCCGCCCGGGGTCTCTGCCGTCGCCGGCCCCCAGGTCTGGCTCCCCACCTGTGCACGTCTGACTGTGCGGCCCCCCCGCCCCACCTGCCGGCCCGAACCCCCCGACCCCCCCCCCCGTTCTTCTCCTCTCCGAGATCCACCCCAAACCCCGAGGGTGCGGCCCACAGACCCCCGGGGACAAAGTGGGCCTGGGCTGGGCGCTGTTCAGAGCAAAGTTGTTTTTACTGCAACGAAATCGTTAAGAGGCCGTTACACGAGTTCCACAGACACACAACCGACGCGACAACCGTTAGTCAGCGAGAACGCTCAGGGGGTACAGACGAGGGTTGGTCCACGGCACAGGGCACATCCGGAAGGAAAAAGGCGGGCGGAGCGGCGATCGCGCGCTCACACCGCCCACGGGGGAAGGGAGGCTTGTCCGGCTCCGGCCACCTGCACGGGCGGCAGGCTCCCCGCGGGCCCCAGCCCGGGGCTCGGCCACAAAACCAGCTCTGGCCGCGAGCCCCGGCCCACGGGAAAGGGGCCTCTTCTCGCTGCCTCGGGCCACGGGCAGCAGGGGAAGTGGGGACAGCAGGTGGCCCCCTTGGACAGGAGACAAGGGTTGGGTGCAGGGGGCAGGCCCAGCACCCTCACGAGCAAACCCGTGTTGGCTGGTCCAAAAAGGTCATTTCCACAGTGGCCTGTGGCCACCCAGCGCGGTGGGGGACCCTGCCCGGCCTCGCCAGCGGGCAGGCCCCTGCGGTGAGCAGGCTGGCGGGTGAGTGCCCATGGCCACGGCCCAGCTCCGGTGCCGACACACACAAGCCCAGGGCTCCTTCCCCAGGGGGCATCGTCGAGCGGGAGCCCCAACGCCGTCAGCGGTGCTGACCCGGGCAACACACGGCCGCTCTGTGGGCACCAATAAGTGCACCTGGCTCTCCGTCACCCACCAGCCCTCGCCTCCCGGGACCGAGGGCTGAGTCGGTCTGCACCCACTGGGCCGAGCTGAAGGGGGAGGAGGAGGAGACTCGAGGTCCCAGGGAGTGAGACCTCGTCCGTGCCCCCCCACCCCTGTCCCTCAGTGCCCAGCAGACACGGGGACGGCCAGCGGGCCGACCTCATGCGTCACCTCAGAAACCCCCTCGAGCTCCCTCCAAAAATCAGAAAGACAAACACACACAGAGCCCCTGACGCTTCCCATCCCACAGGCTAAAGGCCACAGTCTGTTCTTGTTTTACTGAGAGATCACTCTTTGATCCGAAAGCTGTTTTTGTGGCTTCTTTTGGAAATAATTATGCCTATTGTGGGCCGGTGGCGGGCCACGGGGCCGAGGGTGTCCGGCTGGACCCCCAGGGAAGCCCCTCGGGCCTGGGGGTGACGGGGAGCAGAGTTCCCTCCTCCCGCCACTTGTCCCCCCCGGAGCCGGGCCCCCCGCCGAGCCGGGATCACGCGGCTCTGGGAGCTGCAGCGGGAGCGGGTCTGGGGTCTAGGAACCGGGGTCTCGAGAAGCGGCTGCCACTGCGGGCGCCCCGACCAGCTAGCAGGTGGGGCTCCCCAAGGGAACCGGGCCCCCGGGGCAGCCGACAGGGTGGGCTCAGGGCTCGCCCCTCCAAGGGTCCCCACTGTCACTGAGCAGAACTCTGCACCCTCTGGAGGCCAGTCCTGGGGCGCCACCTGGCGGCATGGGACAGGCGGCCGGGGCGCCCCCGCTGGCACATGCAGCTGCACGGGGGCCCTGGGACCCCCTGCGGGCTCTGGGCTGCGCGAGGCCGACCCTCACCAGCCGAGCGCGGAGCAGGAACCCCGGCACCGGCCCGAGGGCCACGCACGGGGAGGGGGCTGCGCATCCGCGCTCACTCGAGACCCCCGCCATGTCCCCGCACAGCGGACACGGGCACGGCACGGCCGTCGGGGCGGGGACACGCATCACACCACACAGGGTGCCGGAGACACACGCGGGCTCGGTGAGCCGGGGCGGAGGAGCCGCGTCCACCTGCGCCCCCCCGCCGGGCTCTGCGTCCAGCTCCCGGGACACAGGCCGTGCCTCCCGCTCGCCTCTGCTGCGGGCGCCCGAGCGACACCCACCCGCCCACAGAGGACGGGGGCAAGAAGACACCGGGGCCCAGCATCCTGGGCGGCCGGGGCTGGGGGTGCCTGGGTGCCCTGGGACATGTCACCAGAGTCTCCGTCGGCGACACTCGTCCGTGACGAGATCACACACGACGAGGCTCGGAGGGCCCGGTGGGCGTGCCCCCCGAAGACACGCAGGTTCAACACAATAAATACAACAGCCCCCCGGAGTCTGGCAGGGGGCCGGTCGGCGGCTGGGCGGGTTGGAGCTGAGCGATGATGCAGTGCCGGGGGCACTCTGGGGAGGGGGAGGGGCCTCCCGCTGGGGGGCTTCTGTGGCAGAGCAAGCGCGGAGAGGGGGGACCCCACTCCCGTGGGCGTCCCCGTCACAGCCTGGGGGGCGCTGCGCAGGGGAGGCCTCGCCCCGTCCTGTCCGCGGCTACTCAGAAAACGGCGGGAACATGCCCAGGTCGGCGAAGTCCTCGATGTTGTAGTTCCCCGTGCCCTGGGTCGGGTCTCCGGGCATGGGCAGCATGTCCTGTGGGGGGGGGGGGCGGGGGACAAGGAGCCACAGGGCAGTCAGGCACCCGCACGCCCCGCTCGGCCCCACTGCGGCGTGTCCGGGTAGGGGGCAGCCCCAGCCCCTCGGGGACGCGCTGCAGGGGCCCCCCAACGCCCCCGAGACCCGGGCAGCTGCTCCTCCCCGGGTGCTCCACCCCCGCGGGGAAGCGCAGCCCCAGGACACAACCTCCCCCGCTCAAGGCAGAGCCGGGGCACTGGGCGCACAAGGGCCCTGGGGCGGCAGGGAGAGCCCGGCCGGCTGCAAGACAGCACACCCAGTCAGCCGTGGAAATGTGGGGGGAGTGCAGAGCACGGGGGGGTGGGGGCGCAGGGGGCCTTCATGGCCCTCGCCACTGCGTACTCAGGGGGCGCCACCAAAGCCTGACACCCCCAGACTTCCCAGCTCCCGGGGCCTCAGCCCGCCCGCCCAGAACACGGGAGTGGCTGCACTTCCCTTCCTCACGGCCACTTCCCGCAGGAGTTCTGTCGACTCCTCAGTCCACGGGACGCGCCGGAGAGAGAGAATTCCACGGCCCCGTGAGTCTGGGAGCCGAGGCGCACTCCGCCGCCCCCCCCCCGCCCCCGCCACGGACCCCTCGGCCCGCACCAGTGCCGTCGGGGCTCTGACAAGGCCGCCGAGCAGCTGCCCAGCCAGCGTCTCACGTGCTCATGGGACCGAGTGTCCCGTGTGGCCTGGTGGCCCTGAGGAGCCAGGGAGGGAAATTCATCCCGCGGGGCTGCGGGTGGGGGGGGGACGGGTCAGGTTGTCACGGAGGGAGGGGCGGGGTGAACACTGCAGGGGGGGGACCAGGCGGGGGCCCGGGCGAGGCGCCCCCCTGCCTGTTCACAAGGACTGCGCCCTCCGGAGACTTGGTGCGGCACATGGGCTCCAGGCCTTTGCCTGGGCAGACGCTGCTCAGCCCCATGGGAAAGGGTTCGGGCTGAGGGCGGGGCTGGCGGGCAGCTGGCCCTTGGGGATTAGCATCCTGGGTGTCGCAAACCCCCCGCCCCAGCCCTGGGGCACCTGCCCCACCGCTGCTTTGCAGGGCCTCCGGGCCTGGCAGGGGGCAGCCGGGCCCTGGTCAGGCTGGGTGGGAAGGACCAAGCGCGTGGCCAGGGGCACACAGGGGCTCGGGCCCCGGTGGGAACTTTCCCGGCTGAACACGGAGCCGGGGAAACCCCGGGGGGCTGCCTCCAGTGCTGCAGCCGCGGGCGGGCCCAGGGCAGGTGCGGGGAGGGGCCAGGCCCGCCGGACCCCCGGGGGAGGGGCCGGGAACAGCTCACTTGATGGAGGCAGGAGGTGCCCTCCGGCAGGAAGACCCGGGCCGCCACCCCCAGACCCTCCGGACAGGGCCACGCCTCGGGCCAGAACTCCGTCGCCGCCGAGGCCAGGACCCGGGGGTGGGGGAGAGGAGGCGGAGGGAGGGCGCGGGTACCTTGGGGAAGGCGGCGGTCGCTGCGTTTACCTGGAACACCTCGCTCTGCCCGGGCTGCTGGTGCGCGTGCTGCTCGCCGCCCTGCTGCCCGTGGTGCTGGCTCTGCCACTGCGACCACACTTCCGAGGGCCGCCCGGGGAACTGCCCGCCGCTCTGCCCGCTCTCAGCTGGAAGACCCGAGGGGCGGGACGCCGGCGTGGGTCGGGGGGCTCCCTCCACCCTCCTTCCCGCCGGGGCCCCCGGCCGTGCCCCACCGCCCCCCCGTCACATGTGAGGCCGTGACCCCCAGGACCTCAGAACGTCACTCTGTTTGGAGCCCACTCCAAGGAGAGGTCATTAAGGAAAGGTGGGGTCACTGGGGTGGACTCTGGGCCAAGACGGCTGGAGCATCCCCGCGCACACCAAAAGGTCACGGGTTCGATTCCCACTCAGGGCGCACACCTGACTGAGGGGTTTGGTCCCCGGTCAGGGTGCGTATGGGAGGCAACTGACGAGCGTCTCCCTCTCTCCCTCTCCCTCCCTGCCTTCCTCTCCCTCTCCAGCCAACAGACGCATCCGAGGGCGAGGATTAAGAGAAAGAGGAAGAGGAGATCAGGACGCAGACACACTCACGGGGACGACCAGGCGAGGACACAGGGAGAGAAGGACCGCCTGCCCACCGAGGAGAGAGGCCTCCGGAGAAGCCCGCCCTGCCCACACCCTGGCCTCGGACCGCCGGCCACCAGGCCCACGGGGAAGCAGTGCTGGCTGTCCGGTCACCCGGTCTGTGCGTCTGTGTTCCGGCTGCCCAGCCGGCCGCCGCCCTCCCCGCGAGCTGCCTGTCCGCCTCGGCCTCCCCGTGCCCTCAGACGGGGGAAGCCACCGTCCACGCAGCACCTTCCTGCTTTTCACTCTGCTCTGCCGCCGCGCCACGGCCCGGCCGGCGCAGCCCGGCCCCGCAGGCACCCAGAGCTCCGGTCCCAGTCTCTCCCGGGCGTCGGCACCCCTGACCGCCCGCCCTCTGCCCCCGCTCGGCTGGCTCCCAGGACAGCGGACTGCGGCCCCACGGCCCCCTGCACCCCTCCTCGGGTGCCCCCGGCTCTGACGCGTGCCCCCCCACCTTCGTGCTCGCTGAACACGAAGTCAGGCCCCGCCTTTTCCCAGGGACGGGGTGGGGGGAACACTGCCCGGGCGCGTGGCCTGCCCCCAGCCCGTCAGGTGCCGCCCACCGGGAACAAGACGGCCGTTCCGCCGTCCGCCCTCCTCAGCGGGGGGGGGGGAGCGGGACAGGGCGGGTGGGGAGGTGTGGGCTAGAGGGCGGCTGGCCCCCTCTCCGGGGGTTGCTTGAGAGTGTTAATTACGGTCAATACAAGACCGTGCAATGAAAATCCTTAAACTCCTGGGAGGAAAACTCTCTTCTCACACGCGGGCGGAAGAAGAGCACCCACGGGCCGGTGGCTTCCGCCAGGGCACCCGCCGGTCCAGGGAGGAACACGGGACCTCGCGCTTCCGAGCGCCGCCCGTGGGCACCGCGCTGGGCACTTCCTGTGCAGCGCTCCGTCCACCCCCCAAACCCCCCACCCCCGCCCGGCGCCGACTCACGGCCCGCCGCCCGCAGTGCTCAGACCAGGGAACTCGGGCGCGGGGACCGCGGGAAATCCAGTCAAGGCCTCCGGCCTCCAGGGCCAGAGCCGGGCTGCAGCCCGGGAAGCCCTGGGAGCCCGGCACCGAGGCCGTGTGCACGCATCTGTGACACACTCGGAGCTTCTGAGGGTGGCTCCACGGAATGACACGGCAAGGACATTCAAACGCTGGACGAGGCAACAGGATGAATGCAGGGGGACAGACGGGGTCGGGAAATGCTGCACCCCGGGGCTGAGGGCTGAGGGGGCCGAATGCGGCTTAGGGGGGAGGCGGCTGGGGGCCCCGCACAGGAGCCGGGAACCTGTACAGCGGCCACCTGTCCGGAGGCCGACAGGCAGCTGACACGGAAGCTCTGACCGCTGGGCTCCACTCCCCGCTCCCCAGGACGTGCCCTCTGACCCCACTCGCAGCCGTCCCGTGGTATCACCCAGGAACCCGGGACCCTCAGAAAGCATTTCTCAGCCCTCCCCACCCCGGAGAACCCCAGCCCCGGCCCCCACCTACCGAACCCCGGGGTCCTGCTGGCCAGACTGGAGTAGGCGTTCCCGCTGGGCGAGGAGGTCGCGGGGCTGGACAGCGGGCTGTAGGAGGCAGGGTCGGCCGGGTAGCTGTGGCTCGAGCCGATCCCAAAGGGGGAGGACTGCGCCTTGCTGGACTGGGAGCGCACGTGCTCCGGTCAGGACCGGGCAGGAGGAGGGAGCGAGCCCCGAGCGTCCGCAGGTCCCCGCCCCGGGCCGCGGGTGGGCCGCCGCCTCCGGCGGGTCTGGGAGCAGCAGGAGCGCCTGCTCTGGGCTGACGGGACCCCCCACGGCCCTCCTGGCCGGCTGGGCACGAGGCCTGGCGTCTGGCCCCCAGGTACAGGCCCCAGAACTGCAGCACGTGGGGCCTGGATCTTTGGGGCAGGTCGCCCACCCCCCCAGGCTGCAGTGGCCTGGGCCCCCCGGCTTCTTGTTATGGGGTCTCGGCACCTCCAATGCCACGAGCCCCCTTGGCTGGAGCTCCTGCGGGCCCAGCCCCGGGTCGGGGCACGCAGCGTGCAGAGCTCCGCTCGCTTGGTGGCCGGGGGCAGCGCCCTCGGGGAAGCCCGTACCTGCCCGGGGAAGGGGGGCCGACTGCCGGTCCAGGCCACCTGGCCCTGGCTCAGCTGCCGGGGGATCTGGGGCAGGTTCTGGCCCGCCGAGGACGACGACTGGATGTCGTTCACACCGGGCACGTGCACCACCGACGAGCTGGGGGGGGAGGGGAGAACAGGCACCGGCCCTGAGACGCCCCCTCCGTCCCGCGCCCCACCGCGCCCCCCCTCTCCGCCGACGACCCCCTAGGAGCGGAGGAGACGCCTGTCGCTGGGGACGCCGGCCTCCCGCTCCCTCCCTCCCTGGGGCTCTGGCTGAGCTGTTCCTTCGGGCACCTGTGGGGCTCCGGGGCTCGGGAGACAGGCCGAGGGCTGTGGGCGTGCTCGCTCTTGGGGGAGACGGTCCTGTTCGTGGACACCCCCCCCGAGGCCCACCCTCGATGGAGTCCCAACTCCTCCGAGTACCCTTCAAGGCCCCGCGGTCCCGGCCTGTCTCTCCCAGACCCGGAGCCCCCCCATCAGTCCCGTCTCCTGCACTCGGTGCCGCCTCCTGCTGGCCCCGTCTACGCTCCCGTCTCCCCGGTGGTCCTGGAGCCAGGTCCCGCCTCCAGCGGTGCAACGGGGCTTCCTCGGGGACCTACAGAGGCCCGGGGGGCCGAGCACCAGGCTGGGGAAGGCGGACACCCTGCCTACACCTGAGCGACCCTCTGGGCGGAGACCCCAGGCATGATGGGCTGTGCCGTCCTCTCGTCCTCGGACGAGGCTGTGGCCTCTGGGGACCAGGGGACAGGGCGGCCCGGCTCCCTGGCCAGGTGTCAGCGGCTTGGCCCCACCCAGGTCCAGGCGGGGGGCCGGCTCGGCCCCTTCTCCCTGGCAGACCCCAAGCCTCCGGCACCCTCCGCCGGGCCAGGGCCCGCAGACAGGCAGTCACCACACACACGCACACACACACACACACACACACACACGCACACCCACGGAGCCCGGCGGAGACCCGGGCGGCGCCCCTGCCCCGCGCCCACACCGGCACGCACCTGAAGGCCTTGCCCGAGTGTCCGGCGGGGAACGGGCCCCCTTGGGAGAAGATCTGCTGGGTCCCCGAGGCCGAGGCGGAGCTCATCATCTTCTTCTCCGCTGGGGAAAGCACAGCAAGGGTCACGGTCCGGGACCCCCTGCCCCGCAGACCACGGGCAGCTCCCCGTGGGGCCTCCCTTCCCTGCACCTGACCCCCGCCCAGGCTGGGACACACACCACCGGGAGGCGGGCCCCGCCGAGGGCCGGGAAGCACGGACGAAGTCCTTCCTCAGGACTGCGTGTCCTGGTGAGACCCCGTTTCACCAGACCCCTCCCCCCAGGGGACGGGACGCGTCCGTGGGGGAGGACGGGCACCAGGACCAGGAGCTGGGGCCCGCGGGTCCTGGGCCGGAGCCCCGCTCCCCGGGGCGGCCCGGGGGATGCACACAGACACAGCCTCCACGGCCCCGTCCCTGGGGCTTCGAGCTCTCCGCTGGCGTCTCTCACAGCTCAGCGGTCACTCCTCGGGAGTCGTCAACCGGGAGTCCTTGAAGTCACCTTGTGTCACCCCCTCGGTCGTCCCAGCTCCCCGACACCCCACTTGTTCTTCTGAGTGTTTGCAACTTGCCGGCCATTTGCTCGTCTTTTCTTGGAAGCGAGACTACTTTCCCTCCTGCTTTCCCTTTTCCCGTTCACGGTCGTGTGTGAGCACGCTGGGAGCGACTTTCTCTGCAAACGTCAGAGACGTGGGAAAAAATCTCGGTCTGAGACCCCGAGTCCAAACCGGGCCTGGATCTTTTCCGAACCGATCTGATCCCGGTCGGCAGTTTTGCCTCCTGACAGTCTTCACGTTGGTTCCAGGTGTGTGCGGCCTCGTGTGTCGTCCCTGCGGCTTCCCCCACCTGTCGGCTCTGCTCCTGGGCGCCGCGGCTGACGCCCCGTTGGTCTCGCAACATGAGTCACATGTCACGCCGGTGCCCTCGGACGGGGCCTGCCTGGGGACGTCGTCCCGTGGCGCCCGAGGAAGGAGGCAGCCGGTTGCTGGAAGATGTTTGGGTCGCACGTTTTTTTCTTCCCCTTCTTTTCCTCTCTGCCGATCACCCCCCGTGTTGGCACCTCCACGGGAAGGCGTCCGCGTCTGTGCACTGGCGCAGACGGGTTTCCCAGGGACGCCGTGGGAGCCTCAGGCACTCCCGCTCCCCCTCCTGCTGGGCGGAGCCACCTTTCTCTCGGCGAGTCGGGGGCGCGCTGATGCTGATGCAGGCGGAGAGCGCGTCTGGATGGTGGGGGGACCAGCAGCAGGAGCCTCCCCGTCCGGGTGGCGGGCTGGGTGACGCCGTGTGGCGTCAGCACCCCCGGGCGCCCGTGGGCTGCAGCCTGGCGCCTTCCTCGACGTCTTCCCCTTCGGTCCCCAGCCTCGCACGCAGTCCTGACGCGGCGGCCGTCCACGGCGCACGCCGGCATGGGGACTGAGACCCGCTCTCCCCCACCTGCCGGGGCCCCCCTGGCCCCCTCGGCTCTCACTGTCCCCAGCCTGTCCGTCCTCCCAGGGCCTCACTGGGGTCCCTCCCAACGGCAGCGTTTCCCTCGGGGTGAGGGGGGCGAGTCAGCTGCCCTCTCCGGCTTCGGCTGACCCTGGCTGCGCTGTGTCTTGCAGGAATGCCTCGACCGCGTGAACACGGAATCTTCCTTCTGGATTTTGGAACCGATGAGGACATTTCCAAGTTCTATACGCTGCTACTCCTAGTGGTAATCGGAGTGGGAGAGGAGGGCCCCCCCCCCCCCGCACACGAGGGTTCCACGGGGCACCCTCGCTGAGAACCGTGCCTCTGCCTCTGTGGCGGCACCATCTGGGGGGGGCAACCTGGTGACCCCCGAGTGTCCAGAGCGAGCTGTGGGGGTCCACGCAAGCATGAAAAATGATTTAGCTCACTGAACAATCTGAAAATAAGCTCATAATAAACAATCGTGAAAAAAGCAAGTGGCCAAATGGTGGGAGCTCAATTTTGTACATAAAAGGCATTCGTTCGCGTGTATTAAAAAGATAGAAAGGACGTGGTTTTAAAAACGATTACATCCAGGTGGTGGGAGGGCAGGTCATTTTTACTTTTGTTTTTTAATGCATACTTTTATTTTAAAATGGGGTCTTCTTTGTGTTGTGGATTGAGGTTTTTGGGGGGAAGGGGATTGTTTGTTTTTTTAACAAGGATGTGCCTTCAGTCACAAAAACTAAAGTGCCCCGTGGGTCGACAGTGTTCGTTTCTTCCAAAATTCCCAATTTTGAAGACCAGGTGCCAGAGGCCCCAGGTGACGGGGCAGGAAGAGGCGGGGCCGGAGGTGGACAGGACTCGCCTGAATCCTGCCCTCGCGCCCGGGGCCCTGTCCCCAGGGGGGTGGGGGGTGGGGGGGCTGTCTCTCTCAGGCCACACGGCAGCCGGAAACCCGCACGCGCGGCCCCGGCGCCGTCCGGCACTTACACGCTCCGATGCCCGCGAACATCTCGGCGAAGCGGGGGTCCCTCTCCTGAGAAAAGATCGCATCCGCCTTCTCCACGGGCTTCCCGGCCTCGTGCACGCCGGCCGGCAGGCTGGGCACAGGCACCTGTTTGCGCAGGGAGACACAACGGCATCCCGCGTGAGAGGCCGCGGCCGGCCGGCCCGGGTGCGGGGCGAGGAGCGCTTCTCCACGTGGAAGCCGAGGACAGACGCCGTGGGGTGCGCACGGGAGGGGACAGAAAGCACAGCGCCCGCAGGACGGCTCAGAGGCAGGGAGACGGTGAACGCCCTCCCCGTGTCGGGGACGGGGGACAGAGAGCTTCCGTCGGGAGAGGGGCCACAGGGCCCCGCCTGGCGGTTCCTCCGTGGGACCTGAGGCAGCGGGAAGAGGAGGAGGGTGGGAGGCAGGGGTGGGGCTGGGGGGGCGGGAGGAGGACGGAGCACGAAGGGCAGGGAGGGAGAGAGGGGCGCAGGCCAGCGGCGGGAGAAACTGACGACGAGGCTGCAAGCCGCACCAGCCGGCCCCCACTCTGCCTGTCGACAGGAGAGTGAGTGCAGGGCCAAACGTTTCTCTGGGGTCCTCGGACACTCTCGGCCCCGACTGGGGCTCAGACACAGCGGGTCCCCTGGCTCGTGCCCTTTCGTGGCTGAATTCTCCAGAGAAGAGTGACAGGGCCCCCGGGGCCCCCCAAATCTCTGCACAGCACGGGTGGACAGAACCACAGGTAGCGCCTGCTGGCCGGGGGGGCTGGAGCCAGGGGCTGGAGTTGGTGCCCAGGCCCCCGGGGTGCAGACAGGTGCGCGGCTCACCTGAGCGAGGTCGTACGACGACAGCCCGTCCCTCTGGTGCACCTCCAGCTCGGCCTGCTGCTGCTGGAGCTGCCTGCGGAGCAAGAAGCCACCATCACCGGGGCTGGCTGGCCCGGAACCCGCCCTGCCCCCAGGCACCTCAGGCGGCACCCCACGGCTTTCTAGGTGGCGTCCAGTTTTTCTTTATTTATTTCTTCTTCATTAAAATGCTCCAGATAAAGACACCCAATTCTGAATTGTAAGCATAAGCTGCTGATACATAGGAAATAACTTTTGATTTATGATTTCACTTTGTGCAGGGCAGAAAGATACTTTTAAAAAAAGAAAAAAATGTTCAGGCAAACTTCAGGAAAATGGTGTTTGTTTTTTTTTAACAAGTTTTTTATCGTGTTTTTTCCGTTACTGCATGTGAAAACCTGTTGGGTTTAACACTGAGGGGACGTTTAGCTATAAACGCATTTCCGGGAGCTCCCCCGCGCCCCACACTGCGCCCCACAGCGGCATGGAGAGGGGTGGGGCGGGGCAGGTGGGGCGGGGCAGGTGGGGCGCCACGGGCTGCAGCCCTGGGGGAGGGAGGCTGCTCCCTGCTCCTGAGCCCCCGCAGCAGACAGAGCCCCTTCCACGGGGGCGGAAAACAGGTCGAGGCCTCGGCTGCAAACCCCGTGACCCCCCACCAACATCTCTGTCCCATGGCCCGCGGCTCCCGAGGCCGCCCAGGCCTGGGAAGAGGCCTGAGGAGGTTTCTCGGACACTTCGTGGCGGCGGAGTAAAAATAAACCTCAGTGCGTCTGCAGACTCCACGGGGGGAGAAATGTGCGGCTCAGAGGAAAGCTGACCGACCGACAGCCCACGGGAGGGAGCCAGCCCCCACCGCAGCCACGGGCAGCCCCCCACAGGCGGGGCGGGGAGCGCTGACCATCCCGGCTTCCTGCCCCAGCGGCCTCCCCGCCCCAGGGAGGTCAGCATGCTGGGCTGAGGCCGGAGGTCGTGGCCCGGCCGGAAGGAGGACGCAGCCGCGGGGTGGGCCTGCAGCCGCGGGGCGGTTGCACCCCCGGGCGAACGCAGGAGCGGCCTGGAGGCGTCTGGGGCTCGGCCAGCTCGGCGGGGTGGGGTGGGGCGGGGCTGGCGTGCCCACCTGGCCGAGTGCTGCCCCAGTGCCCTCGAGACGCCCAGGCCTCGACCCGGGCACTGAGGAGAGGCAGAGCAGGGCAGAGGGAACCCCAGACAGAGCCTGGGGGGCGGTTCCTGCCAGGTCGTCTTTGCAGGTGGACCAGAGGGCGGGACCAGAGGCTGGGGCTAGGTGTCCGGGAGTTCTGGCTCCGAGCTCTGCAGGGACCGGGGATGAACCCCCCCACCCTGCCCACGTCTCGTGGACCCCACCCCCCGCATCCTGCCAGCTGCCGACCCAGCGGGCTGAGCGGTCGCTGAGGACAGGGGGCCGGCTCCCCGCGCGGCTGCAGGCTGAGAGCTGCAGGGAAACGCACGCAGGCACCGCCTGCAGCTGCGGCCGAGGACGGTGCTGGCCCCGGAGAGAGGGCCCGGCCGCGTGGGCGGGAGCCAAGGGGCAGCCCCAGGTCACTCCCCGCGGAGATGCTGTCCACGGCGACGGCACAGCCCTCGGCGGGGGCCGACGGGAAAACGCCCTCCTGCCGGGAGCAGCCCACCCCTCGCCCTGGTCTGAGTGCCGACCCCCAGACCCCGGGAGGGGGGCTCGCCCCGGAGCCTTGCGTCCAGCACGGGCAGCCGGAGTCCACGCTGCTTTCTGGGCTCTGCCCCCCCTCCCTGCACCGAGGTCCCACGGGGATGAGGAGGCCGTCTCCTCGGGGGCTCCCCCCAGACGTGCACCGTCACCCACGGGGCTTCTGGGGGAGCCTCTCTCCGACAACCCACGACCGGACACAGCGGGGCCTGACCCTCCGCCCCGGACTGTCCGCGACGGGGCTGCCCGCTGCCGGCCGGCGAAGGTCGGGCAGGACCACGGTCACAGCCACGGCCGTCACTGCCCTCTACTGGCCACAAGGAACAACTCCCGTCTCGCAGGGCCGGAGCGGTTTGAGAGCAGGGTGCCGGCTGTCCCCGTGACACCCCGGATGCTCCCGTCCCCTCAGGCCCCGACACGGCTGCAGAAGCACAGACATGTGGGGGAGGCAGGGAGGCAGGTGGGCGGACAGCAGAGAAGGGACCGGGTCGCAGGAGCAGGCAGTCCTCACTCAGAGCCGGTCCGAACGCTGGCGTCAAAGGGGAAAATTCTAGAACAGTGTCCATGGCTCTGAACACACAGGGATGGGTTTGTCCATTTCCGTGGCTCTGGCACGGGCAGCCATGGCTGGCGACGGGGCGGTGACAGGAGGGACGTGTCTGGGGAAACGCCGCAGCCTGAACAGATGCTCAGCAGGTCGGCCTCGCGCCCTCTGCCCGCTGCGGCCCAGCCCCCGGGCCCCCACGCCACGCCTGGCTCCACAGGTGAGTGTGCACCTGGAGGGAGTGGCCTCGCCCTGCGAGGGGCCACGGCGAAGGAGGACAGGAGGGGACCGAGATGGACACTCTCACGGGCAGGAGGAGGCCCACGCCCGGACCAGCCTCTCGGCTCGTCGGAGAGGCCCCAGGGCCCGCCCGGGGTGGGGACGGAGCGGGGCAGCGCACTCTGGAGGCCGAGAGAGACCGGGGCCGCGGGTGAGGCACGACCGGGACCCTGCCCAGCAGCCGTGGCGGGTGGCAAGGTGGCCCCTGTGTGCCGTCCGCCTGCAGGACACGAGGGCAAGGCTCTGGCCCCCCAGGTGCCAGGTGACGCATCGGGGCCAAGAAAGGGGAGGGGGCTTGTCCAGCAGGGACCCAGGACCGAAACCCAGGTCACCTGCCCTCGGAGGGACCTCGTGTGGGCCCGTCTGTCCAGGCTGTGCTCTGGGGCAGAGGGGCTCCAAGGCCGAGGGCCCCAGGCGAGCTCTGCCACCCCAGGGCTGGGGCATGGCAGCCAGGAGCAGGGAGACCACCTGCGGCCTGCGGTCACGGGGACACCGCCAACAGACCAGGAGGGGCTGGGCGGGGGGGAAGAGACCTGTCTCGGTTTTGAATTGGGGACAACGGCGGTGCCAGCGACAGACACGGGGGACAGGCCAGTCCGCAGGCCCCTGCAGCCGCCAGCACCCAGGGCACAGGTCCCGGGGCCCCGGGCACTCGGGCATCGTTTTGACTTTGTTTACGCTGCTTCTGGGGCCTGCATTTCCTCGAGAATGAACGCAGGCAGGAGGCGTCACCTGCCCCCAGCTAGGAGCTGGGCCACATTTCATCTTCCCGGCAGCCCGGCCGAGGCGGCCTCACCACCCCCCCCCTCCCCGAGCCAGGAAGCGGGGGCTGAGCCTGGGTGCCGGCACCCCCAGGGCACGACTATGGGGAGCAGCACCCGTAAGCACCTGGGCAGCAGAGAGACCACGTGTGTCCCCGCCCAGGGGTGCCCACCCCCAGGCCCAAGAGCCGCTCACTCCTGCGCCCTGGCTCAGCTCAGCGGGGCCAAGAGTCCGAGTGCGGACTCGGGGTCAGGGTCGGGGGGGAGGAAGGCACGTACTTGACGTTGGTGTTGGTGCAGATGACGTACTCGATCTCGTCCGAGTACGGGTTCTGGAAGGTGAAGCTGCTGGTGCGGATCAGCAGCCACTCGCGGTTCTTGGTGCGGAACCGGTACATGACCGACAGCACCTGGCCCTTCAGCTTGACCACCTGCAGGGACGCCAGGGCAGGGCCGTCAGCGGGAGCCACCTCGGGGGTGGGGGGGGCAGGAAGGGGCGGGAGGGCGAGGGAGCCCCCGCTGTCGGCCCGCCCCCCCCCCTCCCGCTGAGACCCGGCACTGCAGGCGGGTCGTCTGCCAGCCCTGCGGGAGGAGCGGGCCAGCGCCTGCCCTGTATCGGGGCCTCCTCAGCGTTCGCAGATCCGGTCGGGAACCCCGGGAGGCGGGACATGGCCTCTTCGTGGGGCCCAGAGCAGCTCCCAGGGGGAGCGGGGGTCTGGACGAGCGTGAGGGGGGTAAGATGCTGCCGCGTGAAGCTGTACAGGAAAGGCCCTCCCAGGCGTGGAGGGGGCTGGGGGGGAGGCACAGCCCGAGCAGATGTCTGGGGGCCGGGAGACCGGAGACACGATGGGGCCCGGGGCTGCAGTCCAGGCCTCGAGACCCGGCTGGTGCTGGTTCAGGGGCGACGCGGAGCCCCGAGGCCCCAGAGGCCAGGCCGAGCCGGCCTCACACACCCTCCATGGAAACAGCTTCGTCTTCCTCGCCGCAGTGACGGGGGGTGTCCGAGCACAGAGGGAGGGGTGGGAAGGACCCCACTGTGAGTCTCACGGGGCCCCACTCGACCGCCGGACTCCTGGGCACACCGTGACCCAGAGAGGGGGCCCGGGCGGGCACGCTGCTGCCACGGAGCTCAGGCTCCTCCCGCGCTCGACCTGGGCCGCTCAGCCCCGCATGACGAGCTCCCGTTCCCTCTCAGGGAGCCGCTCGCTGGCCCCTTGTCTCGTGGGGTCGCCGCGGACGGCGTCGGCAGCAGTACCTGCTGGAAGCTCTCGCGCAGGTGGCTCTGGTCCTCCGAGTGGCAGAACTCCAGGATGTCCTTTCCCAGCAGGTCCTGCAGCGGGGGAGAGGCAGAGAGAGAGGGGCTTTGGTCACCCCAGCCCTGTTGTCATGATTCACTATCAACACAGCCTTCATTTCCCCCCTCGCCCCCCTCCGGCTCCCCCGCCCCGAGGGGGACAAGGACAGGGTGGGGGGGAACCTCCCCCGGCCCAGCTGCGTCTCCGGGCCAAGGGCCCTCGTCCTGCGTGTTGTCTCTGCGCCTCCCTGCTCTCTCTCCACCTGGACAGTCTCTCCTGCCGTCTCGTGTTTCTCGTGACACCACGTTTGTTTGTTTTGTTTTGTTTTGTTTGGGAGGTGTGGAGCAGGGACCTGAGACGGTGCCCCGTGTGAACGTGGACCCCAAGTGTGCGTGGGACGCGGGCTCGGGCGCCACTACGTGGACTGCGGGGGATTTCGGAGTTTCCCGCGTGTGCGTCCTTTGTGGGGGCCCACGGAGGGACTTCCGACCGGGCGCTGACCTCGGGGGACCCGCTCTCACGGGGCACCTCACTCCAGTCTGTGAGCAGTCGGGAAGACACGCGGCGGGGTGGGACGGGGGGCTGAGGGTGACCTTCCCAGGGAGGGGCTGCCTCCACCATGGCTGGCCGTCCTCATCGTGCACGGACGAGGCTGCGTCCCCGTGGGGGCGCGGGGTGAGTGAGGGGGCCGCGTCGCCAACAGAGACGATGAGCACGCCGGGAGCAGCCGGCATCCTGACTGACGGCCGTGGGCTCAGGACGGCCTACCTGGGGCTGGTAGCCGATCACGCTGATGCACCTCGGGTCCACGAAGGTGATGGTCCCGTCGGAGCTGTGCCGGGACAGGAACTCCGTGGGCGCCGACACCCCGCTCATGTCCATGCACACGGGCGAGCTGGTCACCTGCGGCGGGAAGCCCATAGGGGGAGGGGGTGTGACAGAGACACGGCGGGGACAGCCCCGGGCGGACGGAGGGTCACTGGTCTCTCCACGTTGTCAGCGCGACGCGTCTACTAAGCGTTCCGAGAGCCCAGGCCGCGCCCTAGAGAAACGGTGCCCACGGGGGCCGAGTCCCCCCACCTCCGAGTCGGGCTTCCGGGCCGGTCAGTGGGGACAACGCAGCCTGTAGTCCGACCGGCGGGCAGTGAGGCTCCGGAGACACCGCGCCTCGAACGCCAGCACCCGGTTGGTCGGGGCTGAGAGACGTCCGCCCCCTTCCCGCCGGCCCACCCCTCGGTCCGGGGGTGGGGGCAGAGGCGCCCGAGGAGCCGGGCAAGAGAGCTGGAAGGACGACACTGTGTGGACTGCAGTGACCCGGGCAGCCTTTCTCCACCCGCATGCGAGCAACCACCAGTGTTTACCAGACGTGATCGAAACTGCTTATCCGTCCGTCTGAGGACGGCGAGACCCGGGGAACCGGGGACATGAACAGTGGGGGGGAGCCCTGTGCCCGAGTCTCTAAGGTGCCCTGGCCTGTGAGGGGGGCGCTGGGTGCCCCGGGGGCAGGGAAGAGCCCAGGGGACGGTGGGAGAGAGAGTCCGCCCGACACAGAGCCGACTGGCTTCGGCCGTGTTACTCGGCAAGTGCCGTGTTTCCCAAAGTTGGGGAGACCCGCCCCTACCCCGCAGGAGCCGCGGGAAGGGAGCGGGCCCTCGGCTGGCTGCAGGGAAACAGACCGTGGGCAGGGAACCCCGGGCCGGAGCCTGGGGGAGGGAACGTGAGTTTGGGCTGAGCAGGCAGAGGAGCCGCCGGGAACAGGGCGGGGCATGGGGGGGCCCCCCCACGGCGAGGCGCGCTGGCGACCGGGCAGGTGTGACGGAGGCAAGCAGGCCCCGACTTCGCAGTGAGCGGCGCGCGCGCGCGTGCGGGGCGGACGGACCCAGGCCCTCGGGGGGGCGCGTGCGCCCCCAGATCCGGCCCCGGGAGACCCGGACCCGCACAGAGGCCTCCCTCGGCGGGACTGAAACGGCTGCGAGCGGCTCCTCACCTGCAGCCTCCCGATCGCCACGAGGCAGTATTTGCTGCCCTGCCCCACGTCGGCGTCCTCCTCGGGGATGGTCATGCCTGCAGCGAGAGAGGCGGCGTCAGGCGCAGGGGGCGCCCCGCGCCGGGTGGGCGGCGCCCGCGGCTCTGCGCGGCGGGGGGGAGGGGGGGGTTGGAAATGCGGCCGCGCCCCACCCAAGGACCCGGCCCCTCCCCCCGCTCCCCCCCCCCCCGCCCCGGCGCCCGCGGCTCGGGTCTCCGGACGCCGCCGTCCGCGCTTGCGGGTGGCGCGCAGGCGTGTAAGGAAGGTGAGGTGCAGCTTCCTCATCCGCGCGTCCGCCGGCCGCGGCCCCGACGTTCCGGGGTAGAAGGGACCCGCTGAGAGCGGCTCGGGTTGCGGAGCTGCCCCTCTCACGCGCTGACCCAGAGCCACCCAGAGACCGCGGGGGTCGCCGCGCCGTCACCGCCTGGTTCTTGGGGGCGGGACGGGGCCACACAGAGACACTTACTTTTTAGTTCATAACATTAAAAAAAAAACTTAGTGGGTTCATTTTACTTTATTTTTCAAGATCGTACGGCTCTGCTGAATTAATGAAGACGGCCTGTTTGTGTAGTAATAATAATAATAATAATAAGGATAATTTTTCCGAGGGCGGCACACGATGCTCTGGCACCGAAGGCAGGTGGGCTTCCCGCACCCGGGGGTCCCCTCCGGCGGCCTCTCCTCCTCCGACAACTCAGCCGCCGGAACTCCGCCCTCGAGCCCCACATGGAGAAAACGCGGAGAAGGTTAATTCTGAAACGTTTGGCAGAGGCGCCACCTGTCTTTGCAAATAAACAGCCACTAAATCACGGAAATTAACGGGCATCTCCTCTGGCTGCAGCTGTGCGAGAGCGTGTGCTTTGTGCACTGGGACTGGGAGGGCAGAGCGTCGTGTCCAGGAAATCCTCATCTGCAAACAGAGCCGGCGGGGGAGGGGAGGCGGGGGGGGGGGGGCTGCAGCAGGAAAGCCGCCCCGAGGGGCCGCCGGACACCAGGGAGGGATGGGGGGCAGGACAGCACCCCCTCCCGGCCTCGTCCCACCCGGGGACAGGGGTGGGGGCCGAGGGACTGAGTCCTGGTCCCCGTCCCTGACGGGGTGGGTGTTTCCGTGGAAACCCAGGGGCAGTTGTCCCAGTTGTCCGAGGAAACCACTGGGCACCCACCCTGACCCCTCCGTGCGCCCTGCACCGCGGCTGTGGGGTCGCACGGCTCCGTTCACAGCTTCCAGGGACATGAAGTTTTCTGAGGCACAGTGACAATGACTGGTCCCCCCCGCCCCGGTTTCCGGCTTCTGGAAGCTGGACCCCCCCCACCCCTGTGCCGAGGGGGCATCTGGAAGGCAGGGCTGTGTCTGGCGTCCACCGGTCACCGGTTTCAGAGCCACGCGCTCCACCGGGGATTCCAGTGAGCTCCGCCCGGTGAGCAGCCGTCCGGGGAGGAAGGGACGCAGGACACAGAGAGGGAGTGCGTCCACGGAGGAAAAACTACCGTCCCGCCCCGAGTCGGCGGAGCGCTCCTGCCCGTGCGTGTGCTGCCGGCACCCTGGCCGGGGCGGGGGTGGGGGCACGGAGAGCCGCCTGTGGCCTCGCCGCCGGGGCGACGACGGAGCGCGTTCCCTGAGCGCGTGCAGGCGGAGGGCGGCGGGTCACCTCTCCCGCAGGAAGGCGCCGCTTTCCCTACGTCTGACTCGGTGGTGACCGGGTTCCCCGGCTGCAGGAAGGACGGCCTTACAGGGGATGCCATCGCGTCCGGAAGCAGCACCGAGGAAGACGCGTCTGCGGGGACGGCGCGGCCGGATGACGGCGGGAGGCTCTGGCTCCGGAGGGACCAGAGGAGCCCTGACCCCGGGGACCTGACTCTGCCGCCGTCGGTGGACGGACTGCACAGCCTGCGGCCTGTGTGAGCTGCGGGCGGCGTGAGGAGGAGCGGCCCCGGGCCGGGCCACGGGGAGAGCCGCCGCCCCGCTCCACTGTGCTGCCGGAGGGGGTCGGTGCACACCGGGCCTCTGGCACGGGCAGGCGCGTGGGGCTCAGGCAGCGCAGCGCTGGGAGGGCCGTCCTCGCGCCGACCGAGGGCAGGGGGACATGCCGGGGTCAGCGACGGGCGGGGCCACGGGGGGGGGCGCTTCGGGCTGCCCTCCTCAAGGAGGGGGAGGGCTGGTCAGTGGCAGTGCCCAGCTCTCTCTTCGGCTCTGACACCGCAGGTCCAAACGCCAGGTCAGGCCTCAGCCACGCGATTGGCCCCGTGTGACACAGTTTCCGAGCATCTACCAAGCGCCCGGCTTTCCGCTCCGGGTCAGGGACTCGGCCGCGCGGGAGGCCGGCTCCTCCTGGCGGGAGTTCGCGGCTGGCGGGGGCAGGACCATCACGGTGCCATATGGTTAGCGTTAGGGCCGGGAGGGGCGCGGGGCCGGGAGGGGCTCGGGGCCGGGGCCGGGTGCCAGAGTCTGGAGGACCCGGCCGGGAGGGGACGCTTCCTGGCAGGGGCTGTGGCGTGCGGCAAAGTGGTTTTTAGTAGGAACAGGATCGTTCCGGCCGCGTGAGCGGATTCCAGCAAGTCCCCGGTGGGGTCCGCCAGCCCGCTGTGCCCTTCACCAGGTCACCCCCACTTTGGAGGCGCCCTGCCCCCCCCCCACGGGGTGGACATGAGCCTGAGTCACAGAGAAGACGCACCACCAAGCAGCTGCAAGGAGAAGCTGCTGTTCCGGGGGTGCGTTCGACCCCGGCCGGGAGCCCCCCTCCGCTCCCCCTGCGGGGTCGCGCTCCCCCTGCGCCCGCTCGAGTGGTGGAAAGCTGGATGGCCGTCCAGCCCCGCGGGGCGGGGTCTGTCCCGGGACTCGTACCCTCACGCGGGGATGGAGACACATTTTTTCTGCACTCAGCCAAACGCAGGCGGAGGGAAAAAAAAAATCACCGCCTTCCGCTGCGAGCAATTGAGGCCACTCACTCCGCGAGCACTCCCAACGGCCTCCCTGAGGGACCGTAATCAGTTCTGGGCAAGAAAAAAAAAAAGAAAGAAAGAAAAAAAAGGCCTCTTTGGCCAAACACATTTGGGAAGCGTACTGTAAACAAAAATAGAGAGATTTCATCACCGTGGGCCTCTGCAGAGAGCTGAACTCTCGACTTGGGACAGGATTCTGTGAGAATCCAGGGGAACCCGGACGGCAGAGCCCCCAAAGGTGCTCTGGCTGGAAAGGGCCAGGGGAGACCCCCTGGGGAGGTGCCTGTCCCCACAGGTCGCCGGGGCCACGGGCCGGCCGGAGACGGGGGAAGGGCAGGCGCGTCTGCAGCCCGGGGTGAGAGAAGGCTCCCACACCTGCTCCCAAGGGCCTGGCCACGGGGCTGGGGACCGGCCGCTGCACCCCGATGCCCTGCGTCTGAAGGAAACGGCCCCGGGGGGGGGGAGTGTGGCCGCACCCCCAGGGGGGCCGACCGTCGAGCTCAGAGCGACGGTGGCTGGAGATCAGCGCCCAGTGGGGGTGAGTCACCGGCGAGCCCCCCTCGATCTCCCGCGCCCCCCTCAGCTGGGTCTGTTGGGGAGCTCGGGAATGTCCTGCCTGGCTCCCCGAGGCCCCCGCCCCCACCCTGCCCCGAAGGCTCCCACGCAGGGAGCCCCCAGCACTGACAGGTGAGTGTCACCGCGCTCGGTGACAGTGAGGCGGCCTGAGAGGTCTCACGAGAGCCCACGGGACCGACGACCGAACCTCCCGCGAGTCTCAGCCGGGGACGACCCCCCGGCGATCTCTAGGCCACGTGGGAGAGAGTCAGACGCACACAGCGAGGAGGCCGGCCTGCCGGGCTCTCGGTGAGAGCCGGCCGGAGCGTGGGGGCCGGCTCCCACTCACCCCCCCACCCCCGTGAGTGCGTGCCGCTGTGCCCCGCCCCCCGCCACCACGATCCAGGGCTGGGCCACCACCTGCACACCCGCCTGCCTCTCCCCGTGCACCCTGAGCCCCTCGCAGGCAGGACCCCCGGGGCCCGGCGAGGCCCCTGGACTGTGGCCCGGAAGCGGCTGCCGCAGGAAACGCCAGGATGGCTTTGCCCGGCCTGAGGACGAGGAGGCCAGAAGGCCCTGCCCACCCACCGCCCACCCCTCACCCCCCGAGTGAAGGCCGCGGCTCTGGTGTGTCACCGGACGTCTCAGCGAGGCCCCGAGCGGGAGGCCGGGCCTGCCTCGGGCACGCGACACGACTGGACAGACAAGCAGCTTCTGGAGATTTCCGCGTGAAGGGAAGACACACGCAGCGTGTCCGACGGCCCCGGGAAGAGCAGGGCTGCTCGGGATGAGGTCACGGCAGGGTCGCGCCGTCCGGGGAACGGGGCACGCTGGCCGGGCCACCACGGACTCGAGCCCAGACCCGCCACAAGGCGCACCGTGGCCACGGCGTCCTGAAGGTGCGGCAGCAGAGGGGACAGAAGCACCAGCTTCCCCGTGAGAAAGCTCCCGGGCGCCCACGACCCAGAGGACCCTGGCGGGAGGGACGAGGCCTCGGCTCCGCTCCCTCCGGCAGGTCAGACGCCGGCTCTCCCGAGCTGACCCACCGAGGGGTAACCGGAGACGCCCGCCGGCTGTCAGGGGAGGAGCCGCGCAGGCCAGACCACGGTCGCTGCAGACGTGGCCCCGGTCCCAGGAACGGCGTCCGTCTGCGAACTGCTGGAGGCGCTGGGTGACAGCTACGCGGCGGAGGCCGCAGACGCCTGCAGAACTCCAAAGCCTCCTGGCGACCGACCGGACACCCCTCGCCGAGGAGAGAGCACGGCCCCCTGGGGTGACCGGGCCTCCCGTGCGTGTGGGACGGAGCGTACTCGCTCCCTCAGACGAAACACGCAGATCAGAGGAGGGAGGGGTCCGTCCTTGTGCCCCCCCCTCGCTCGCCCCCACCCACTGCACACGCCCAGGTGGAAACCCGTGGGGGAGACCAGGGAGGGACGAGATGGGCTTCTGGGACAGATCAGAGGACCCCCAGGGGCGGGGTGGGGTGCTGCCCCAACGGGGAGTCGGCAGGGTCGGCGCGAGCCGCGAGCGCCCAGTCCTCAGAGGCGGGTGGGTGGGCAGGGCCTCCGTTTGCGAGGCCCGGGTCCGCCCCCCAGAGTCCGCCTCTTCTGCGCCCCCCTCGGAGATGCCCACGGTCGCCTGCAGATACTCTGAGCCTCCGCGGTGGTTGGGAAACTTCGTGCTTGCCGGGCAAGTCATCGAGTGTGAGCGCGCCAGCAGCCTGAGCTCATGAGAAAGCAGGGGCAGCAGCCCTCCTCGCGGACGTTTACGAGCCGTCATGGAAGCTCAGAGGGGGGTGCCGCCCCGACGCTCCGATTCCAGGACCTTCCGATGGGGTGACAGCGCTGGTGACCTCACTCCAGCCCCCTCACCGGGGCCTGATGACCGTCTCCACCATCCTCAGTGAGTTCCCGGCAAGTGGATTCTATTAATGGCTTCGGAAATTCTAGCAAGAAATTCTTTCAAGTGCGGGCTTGTTTCCACCACCTCGACCTTTACAGAAACGCAACAACGAAATAAAAGCAAGAAACATACAAACACCCCCCCCCCCGCCCCACACACACACACGACGTCTGATTTCCGTGCAAACCGACCCTCTGGAATGCTCTTTAGAGAAGATGGTTTCACGCAAACGTCAGTGTCTCTGATGACTAAAGCCACGGAAGACTTCCTTCGGAAAATGCAGGGGCCGAGGAGGAAAAAGCAACCAGTAATCTACACGGAAGTCACTACGACTTGATGACTTGTGTTCTCTCCAGTGGTACAATGTTGCAACCTGGAGATGACTATTCATGTACGGTTTTAAAGCACATTCGGCCTGCAGTGCCCCCCGCTGTGCAAACTGCTACTGTTTCGAACTCTTACGGGGTGGCCTTTGCTTCCTCCCTAAAGTGCGCTCCGAAGAACACGCTCGCTCCACTGGTGCCCAGTGTCCTGGGGAACAGGCGTTCCGGGCCGTTTTTAACCAACTCTCTGCCACGGAAGCTTCGACGAACGCTCAGTTTTCCCCAGAGTGAACTGCTGCAGGTGGAGTTCCTGTAGGTTCAGGTTCGTGCTGACCCACACCCCCGCCAGCAGCACTCGGCGGGGTCCGTGTCCCCGAGGCTGACCGACGCTGGCGTTCTGCTTTGTCCACTGTTTGCTGGTTGGTGGGTACGAGGAGACAGCATCATTCGCAGTTATGGTGGAGACTGAGTTTTCTGCCAAATGCTCAGCGTGTCTCATATATGAAGTATGTGTGTTTATGTGTGTGCGCGGACATATCTTAAGGCTGCTTTCATACGCTTTGCTCATTCTCCCCAGAGCGGGGTCTGCCTTGCGGTCACTGCCGCCTCCTCTGCGTCCCAGTCGTGCCTCTGGCACTAAGACCAATTCCTCCCGCGTGTGACACCCCCTCAAATAGTTACAGACAGAAGTCATGTCCTGCTCTCTCCAACATAAACAGGCCAGCTCCTTCCACCGTTTCCCACGTGGCCAAGTTTCCAGGGCGGCCGCCAAAGGAAGGTCCCATGCACCACGGGCCCCGCGGCCCCTCTGGGCCCGCACTCCCCACACGCGGGGCGGGGAGCTCCGTGGGGCTTCCGGAAGCCCGCCCGGGGCCGGCTCAGCAGGCTCTCGGGCTGCTGCCCCTGCCCGCACCTCGGGCCTGGCCTCCTCCCCCCGCTCACCCGCCGGACGCCGCGAGTGGGTTTTAGGAGGACCGTGGCGTTTCTCGTGGGCTGTGGGAGGCCTGGGGCCCCCGTGGGGAGGCCAGAGACCAGAGGAGGGGCTGCCTGGGGCGATGGCAGTGAGGGACGAGTTGAGGAGACGGGTAACTTGTAACAAGGCCCCGAGGGGCAGTGCCGATCCAGCACGGTCACCGGCCGCCTCAGACCCGGGGGCAGGCAGGGACCCTTCCCCGAGGCCCCGGTGCTGACGGCCTCACAGCCCCCGGCAGCCCCCTGTGGGGGTGCTGGGGCCCCACCCCCCACCCACTGCACGTGCCGGGGAACAGGAGGACCGGCCTGTGCCCCACGCCTGCCCGGGAGCCCCACCCCTGCCACGTCAGCCCTCGGAGTCTGCTCGGGGATGGACCACCACTGGGCTGGGCGACCGCACGCTGCCCTCGTCCCCGGCCCCTGCTCCCCGCTCGCCAAACCACCTCCCGGTGCCAGTCCGGGTCCTCGCGTGTGCGAGGACCTCACGGGCTCCCTGACGGTGGGCACGGGCGTCCCTGCTGGAGACGAGGGAATCCCGGGGCGCCTCTGCTGTGTGTCCGGCCACACGGCAGCTCCCGAGAGCTCCCCCAGGCTCCCCGCGTCCCGGAAGCTGAGGTCCGGACCCCAAACACTGCGAGGCCCACCGCCCTGCGAGTGAGTCCCTGTGCTGCAGTCCAGCTGGGGCCGTCGGGCAAGCAGCACCGCGACAGCTGCGTGGGTTCTGGTGTGAGCAGAGAAAAACATACATATATGGTCCTGGCTGGTGTGGCTCAGTGGATGGAGCAGCAGCCTGCAAACCAAAGGGTCGCTGGTTCAATTCCCAGTCAGGGCACGTGCCTGGGTTGTGGGCCAGGTCCCCAGTAGGGGGTGCATGAGAGGCAACCACACATTGACGTTTCTTTCTTTCTTTCTCCTTCCCTTCCCCCCTCTCTGAAAATAAATAAGTAAAATTAAAAAATATACATGAATAAAAATAAATAAAATAAAAACCAGACCACCACACACGTAGGTCGGACTGGTGCCTGTGTGTCTGTGTGTCTGTGGGCAGCAAGCGTCAAGGGCAGCCACTCCTGGCCGAGCTGCCAGAGCCGCCTGCACCGGAGCCCCGCCGCCCGTCCCGTCTGACTTCCACGGAGACGCCCGCGGCGCTCCAGGGCGGGAACGAGTGCAGCCGGAAGGGACGGGCGAGAGGACCCACTTCCGGGCCACGCAGCGGCCACACGCGACGGACACAGAGTCTCGTTCAAGGGATTTGGGGAGAAGGGACTCCCACACGTGACGTCTGCCATCTTAACGTGTGCGACTCCGTGGCTCCTGGCTGCGCCACGGCCACCACGACCCGACTTCACAGCGTTCTCATCGCCTCGGGAGGAAACACGGTCCCCGGGGCGGTTTCTGCCCGTCCCCCCCTCCCCCCGCACCCCAGACCCCACAGCCACGCTCTGCCTGCCGTCGGACGGGCTCCCTGTCCCAGGTGTTTCCCACAAACGAAACGCACGACGCGGCCTCCTGGGTCTGGCTCCTTCTCTCGCCCTGGGGCCCCGTCCGGGTTCACCCACGTCGCAGCGCCACTCGGTGCCCCCCGGCTGTTCACCGCTGCTGAGTGACGTCTCGCGGCACGGCACGGCCACTCCGTGTTAGTCCGTCCCTCCGCGGGCGGACGCGCTTGGGGCGCTCCCCCGCTGGGCTGACGGGAGTGAGGCTCCCGTGCACACTCACGCGTACACCCTCGTGCACACCCTCGTGCACACCACTCTGGGGCCTGGTCTCCCCCGCTGCCGTCCGTGTGTTCCAGGGAGGAGCTGCTGGGGCAGCTGCAGGGCTGCTCTGCCCTGAGCATTCCGCGTAACCCGGGCGGTTCCCCAAAGCCGCCGCAGCGTTCTACGCCCCCACCATCCGTCGGGGGGGACACCGGGCGCCCCCACCCTTGCCCACCCCCTTCACTGCCTCTCGGCGGGTCTGAGGGGCGCCTTGTGGGGGTCCTGAGGAGCATTCCCCAAACAACTCGGACACAGCGGTCACTTCAGTCGTCACTCAGACGCCACCGGGTGCTGCTGCGGGCGGGACGCACGCGGCCTCTGCTTACCTGCGGGCGGCCAGGCCTTGATGTAGCCCGTGCAGTGGACCACGGCGTACTGGGCTTCCCCTTCCTTCACGGGCCCAAGGCCGTTCCTGCGGGAAGAGCGTCTGTGAGGTGGCTGCCGGGCCCTGGGGCGAGGCCAGGACCCCGGGGGCCCCTTCCCCGTCTGAGCCGCGGGGGGTCCCTTGTGCGCCTGGTGACTTTGAACCTTGACCCTCTGCCTCCCGCCGCCCCCCCTCCTTCCACGGGGTCTGAAAGCCCTGCCCCACCCCCGTCCTCATCTGAGCCCCAGACGCCCAGTGCCCGGGCCCCCCGGCCCCCTCGGCACCCAGCCTGCCGGCAGAACCCCACCCGTGCGCCCGGAAGCCCCACCGACCTGAACCGCTTCCTCATGGTGGTCACCCTGCTGAGCGGGAGGTGGTCCAGCGGGGCGTTCCCGCACCTGCGGGCGGGCGGGCGGGCGGGCGGGGCGGGGTGAGTGAGGCCCCCGGGCAGGTCTGTGCAGCTCGGGGCTGTGGACAGGGGGCGGGGCCTGTCCCACGCCCACCCGCCCCCGGGCGGCCCTGACGCCCACTTCCTTCCCACGGTGGGAACAGGCTCTCGCACGTCTCGGACCCCGGACGGTCACCGCGGGTGGGGACAGTGGGACCCGGCGTGCCAGGCTCGCCGGACCGGCCCCGGGGCCCAGCCCGGACGCTGGGACCCCAGAAGGACTCTACAGGGTCCTGACCAGGCTCGGTGCCGCCGACCACCGCGGTGTAAGCGGGCGGCTCTCGGGACACGGGAAGGGCTGACGACAGCAACCGCGTCCCTTCGGGCCCGAGCAGACACGTCCACGCCGGACAGAGGCTACCAGTGGACGGCCAGCAGGAGCCTCCTCCCGGGCTCCAGTCCCCGGCTGAGGACGCTCTCCCGCCTGCCGCGTCCCGGCCCCAGACAGCCGCCGGCCTGCTGTCGCAGGGGGGACAGGGGACGGGGGGGCGGGGCGCCCCCTCCCACTCTGGCAGGGCCCCGTCTGCCTCCCCGCTCAGTGACCCCGCACGGTGTGCCCCGTGTTACTCGCCGTCCCACCTCCCAGCTACGTGACCTGTGGGACCCTGGTGTCTCAATGGTCAACGCAGCGAAGGTGAGAGTCACTCACACCCCGAGACCCGGGACAGCGGCCAGCGCCGGCGTGCTTTTCCCAGCAGGGCCACCCATGACCACCCGCGGCCCAGGACGCGGGCACGGCCCTCTGCCCTCCGGCCGGCCGTGCCCAGCGTCTCGCTGACGCCGCCGCGCTGCTGTGGTTGCAGGGACGGCGGCCATGCTCTCAGCGCACGGGAGGGCCGCTCGCTCCACCAGCGAACCCGGGTGAGGTGGGCCAGGCCCTGGGAAGAGCACCTGGGGCACGTCCCCGGGGCCCGGGGCAGGGAGGGGGCCGCCTGGAGGTGGCTGGAGGGCAGGGATAATGGCGTCGCTCGCGGGAATGCTGGGCCGGACGCCTCCAGGAGGCGGTCCTCCACGCGCAGACCGCGGAGACGACGCGGCGAAGACCCCGCACAGCCGGTCCCTGGCCGAACGCTCGGCGAGACCGTGGGCGCCCACCGACCGCAGCACTGAGGGCGGGCCCTGCACGGCTGGACAGAGTCCCCGGGGGACACCGAGGCCCCCGCTGCCCGGCTCGCCCCGGTCAGCCGAGCAGAGGGCCGGCGGCCGGTGCAGACCCAACCCCACGTCCGAGGGGCACAGTCGGGTCTTCTGTCACCCCAGCGGCCCTGAGGCGGGAGGACGAGGGGGGAGGTGTCCCCCTGTGTCTCCCCGGTGCTCAGCCCGGACAGGCGCCGGCTCGGATCCCCTCCCGGCTCCGAGCGCCCAGGGGCCGGTCGGAGGGGCAGGCTGCACGCTAGCAACCCTGCCCCTTCCTGCCGGCTGTTACACTGGCTTTCTCCTCCTCCGCGGCGTGCAACCGCCGGTGGCCCTCCACGCATGCGCCTGGCGCTGTGTCAACCGTGTGCCTCCGAGGCCGGGGCTCTCTGTGCCCTACAGACTCCGTGCGGAGCCCCAGCACCCTGAGGAGCGCCTGGCCCCGACGGACCCTCCCGCACACGCGTGGAACGACTGAACGAATGTGTTAACGCACGAGAGGCACCGCCTTCACCACCGTCTCAGGAACCGCAGGCACCGGGCGGAGCTGACCCCGCCCTGCACCTCCTGCCTTTCCCCCCTCCCCAGCTTCCCCCCCCCGCCAGGCCACAGGGTTGAAGGGACCCGGGCGTCTGGTCTAGATTCGAGGGCTCCAGAGCCCAGCCCCTCCCTCCTCGGAGTCAGAGCGACCCCCCCCCACCCCGGTGGCTCCAGAATTCAGTCTCTGCTGCGTCTCTTCCACGACCGTGCATCACAGCCAAGCACGTGCAGAACGCTCTTCGCGATTTCACAGGGGGGGCGTGGGGGGGGAGGCTCAGAGAAGCGGAAATCGAGACCCTGACCCTCAAGGAAACTCGAACTCACGGAGCCAAGGTGTTCACAGTTAGAACATCGATCGGCAGCATTAACTAAACTAAGGACGAGCTTAAGAAGTGTGAGTTGACCTGAGAAAACACCAGAGCTTTCATGTGAAGTCGGTGGGTCTCCCACAAAGCGCGTGGAGAAACAGAGCCCGGGGGGGGGGGGAGTGTGGGGCGGGGGGGGCCGCCCTTCCGAGATGGACCGGGCGTCTGTGGGCCCACGCGCTGTGGTCGGGACAACGAGGGACCCTGGCCGAGCCCCCCCTCCTCCACCCCCCACGGACGCACCTCATCCTGCAGATGAAGGACCTCCGGGAGCCCATGCACATGCGCATGGACGACTGCTGCCCCTCCTTCTTGACTGTCCCCGTCTTCAGGTCCAGGATGCGGCCTGCGGAGAGAGCAGGACACACGCATCAGCCTCGGCCTTGGCCTCCGCCTGGGGTGGGGGGCAGGGGGAGGGGGTGCGGGTGCAGGGGGAGGGGGCGCAGGGGGGAGGGGGTGTGGGTGCAGGGGGCAGGGGGGTGGGGGGGGAGGGGGGGGCAGGGGGAGGGGGGGAAGGGGGGGGCGAGGGCGCTCTCTGCAGACGCCCCGCAGAGGAGGGCCAGGCGCACGGTCTGCTCCGTGGAGCCCCCACATTCTCCGTCCGGCAGGAGACACTCGGGCACTGAGACCCACTCAACACTAAGGGTCGTTTCCTTGTTTCCTTCCCAGGGCAGCTGCCTCGCCCCCCGTCCCTCCGACTGGGCCTCCTCCCGCCGCTGACAGCGTCCTCGCCGCTCAGTCCAAGCACGTGTCCCCTCTGGCTCCTCTGATGGCCTTGCCGGCACCCCCCCGTGGCCCCCCCACCCCCACCCCATGCCCCTGAGTTGATGCACCGCTGGGAGGATGCCCCTTCCCCCACGCCCCACGTGCCGGGGCCCCCTCCGAAGCTCCCGGGGAGCCCGCTCCCAGCACGACCACCCAGCACCCAGTGTGGCCACGCCACGGTGCAGACCGAGTCACCACACGGCTCGGGGGTTCGAACCGTGCTCTCTCCACGACGGTCGAAGGGCATGAAACGTGACAGGAGCCGGCGGCTCTCTGCCCGTTCCTGACGCCCTCGTCGTCCGGACGCAGCTCGGCCGCCCCCTGGGTCCCTGTCTGCGGCTCCCGCGTGCGGCAGTGGCTCGGCCTCGTCAGTCAGCGTGGGAGGGACGGGGCGACCCCCTCCACCCCCCACCCCCACCCAGAGCCAGAAACATCTCCTCTCGGGCCCTCCGCAGAGAGCGTTTGCCGGCTCCTACTTGGGGCGAATGACGACCAGGACTCCAGTGGGGACAGAGCACCTCCCCGGACGCAGAGGGACCCCCCCACACCCCGTGACTGTCCTCAGGAAGCTGGGTTTTAGGTATTATTTTGATCGGTAGTAACTGTTTCTCAAAATGAGGAAGAATCAGAAGTTTGTCTTGGAGACGATCACAGGAGAAGGCTCTGTCCCAGCTCTCGGAACAGCGCCCCGGGGCTGCCGCAGAAACACAAACGGAAACCAGAGTTATCTCAGGAGAGGAATCAATCCTTAATAAGGAACACAGGAAACATCTTATCTTCGATTAAAAAGGAGGAAAACCAAGATAGCCGGGGAGGAAAACGAGAGAAAATCATCAGCGACAGAAGCCAAGCGACCAAGCATCAGCCCCCACGATGGACAATGTCCGAGGTTCTTCCAGAAACTCGAGGCCCCTGAAACACGGGCCGCGAGGCGGAAAGGAGCTCTGCTCTCGCTTCCCCACGGGCTGACCCCGCCACCAGGGCAGCTGCGCCCCAGGACAGCACCACCCCCCAGGCACAGGCACGCAGCGCCCACTGCAGGGGTCCGGGGCGGGAGCCGGGTGCCCACGGAGCCTGGGCGAGAGCCGGCCTGGGCTGCTGGGGCGGCGGCGAGGTCTTCACGATTCCTGACCTCGGGCGGGGGCTCGGGCCCGGCTCAGGACACAGGCACTCAAGGTGCAGCCTGACTGCTGCTGTCTCCTGGGGCAGGAGAGGGGGCTCTGCACGGGCGGCGGAGTTCGACGGGGACGTCCGTCATTCCGTCCTCCCAGGAGCTGCCCGCCACGGCGCTGGCACGCTGTTCGGTCGGGGTGGAGGTCAGGGTGGAGGTCGGGGTGGAGGTCGGGGTGGAGGTCAGACCCCGGGCCGCCGCCGCCTTACAAGACCCCACCTCCCAGGCCCCGGTGACTGGTTGAGGGCTGGGCACCGGACACCAGCTGGGCCAATCACAGTACTTCATTCTTCTTCGGTCCACAGTGATTGGTCCCATGACTAGGGCGTGATCCAGACAGGCCAATCAGAGACCTCCACAGGCAAAAAAAAAAAAAAAAAAAAAAAAGTGGTGGTCCCAAGCACCCATCTCCTTCCTTTAGGAGCCTGCGGGTGGCTCTCCCAGCAGCAGGGGCTCCCGCCTCCCGGAGAAGTGGGTCTAGGACAGTGACACTGACTCGGAGAAAACAGGGGCAAGCGGGCGGAAGGGCCCCTCACAGCGCCGAGACCACCCGCGCCGATGAACCCCCTTCTGACGCCTGAACCAGTTCACCGGCAGTCCCTGGGCCTTGCCACCCCGTAGCCCCGACTAAGGCAACACTCTCTGGCCCTTGACCGGGGAGGAGGGACAGGGGAGAACTAAATTTAGAGGAGATTTCACTGTGTTTGTGCCCGGAACCTCTCTGCCTTTCCCCCTGGGTGTCCGGATGAAATTCTTTCCTTCAAGTGGCTTATCTGATTGGGTTGGACCTACGTGAGTAATCTCATTCTTTAAAGATCAACTGACTTGGGGCTTGACTCACATCAACGGAACCCCTTGCCTGCAGAGCCCGGATCTGTGTTTGATGGAACACCCAGGGGGCGGGACCTGTGGGGACCCTGGCAGCGAAGGGACCCCAGGGTCCCCGACATCACTGCCACTAGCTCGGACGGCCTGCCCGGCTTCCGAGACCGTGAGCTCCGTGGGCACAGCCAGCCCCGGCCTGAGCTTCTCCGTGTCCCCTGGGCCAGGGCGCCCCCCACAGAGCGGAGCCCAGCGGCTCTCTCTGCCCGGGGTCGGTCACAGCCCCCTGACGTGCAGGGTCCACGGTCACGACGGCTTGGGGGCCGAATTGGAACCCTCATGGGCTCCCACGGGAGTCTCTTCCCCCATTTCCTACAGGGTCCCTGGGGATTTCGGGCTCCTCTCTCCAGGAGCACCCCCACCCGGCCCCCAGGGAGCAGGGTGTCTTCCGTGGGCGGCAGGGACCCGGAGCAGCTCCCGGAAGCCGACCTCCCGGCACCTTCCCAACGAGCCGGAGGAGGCGGCACACGGGTCCTCCACTGGTGACCTGGGCCCGATCGACAAACACGTGTCTCCCTGTTCTGCACGACCGTCCGGCCTGGTGCCGTCGGAGCGCGACAGGCTCCGAGTGTCCCGTGTACGCACCAGGAACACTGGCCCTGGGGTCTGGCAGGGGCTCTGTGGAGGGGACACGCGGTTCGGCGGCAGCAGCTGAGGGGCTGTCCAAAGCCCCCACCAGGACCACAGGCGGGCCAGGGTCCCCCATCTCTCCTGCGATGCCCCCCCCCCCGCTCCAGCCAGGAGGGCTGGTGGGCGCCTGGTGGCCTCAGACAGCGAGGACCCCAGAGGCAGCCCAGCCACCCTGGGGCGAGGGTAAGCCCCACGGAGCAACAGGGTTTTTTTTTCCTCTTTCCAAGAGGGTGCTGTCAGAAGGGTGTGTGGAGGCCCCCACAAACCTGGCGGCTGTAGGTAGGGGAGTGAGAACCCGTCACCTCCGTCAGACAGAAACGTCCGGTGCGGACAGCAGGCTCATGGGCGGGGGGAGAGCCTGGACACTGCCCCCCCCAACCGTCCAACCCGCCCGACTGGGGCCGGAGGAGGCGTCTGGACGACGTGCAGACCAGGCCCCCAGCAGAGAGAGAGAGAGAGAGCCGCAGGGGCGGGCGCCCCAGGCCAAGCCGTCCAGCCTGGCGCGGGGCAGTGGTCAGAGGGGGGGCCTGGGAGCAGGCCGACGTCCGGTCCAGCTTCACTCGGGAGGACACAGCGGGTCAGGGGGCTGGGCAGGGCCCCGGCCAGGGGCTCGGACCTGAGAGGACGTGGGCAGACGCACCCAGGTGCTCGCGCCCGCAGGGCTGCCCCCCAAGGCCTCCCCTGGAGGCAGGGGCACCGGACTCTGCGAGCTGCTGACCGGCAGCCCCCCCGCCGGCCCCTGGCGCTGTCGGCAGGGGTCCTGAGCGTGCCGGCGAAGGTCCTCGCTGCCCCACGGCGGCCTGGGGGGGAACTCTCGTGACGTGTGTTTTCAGACTCAGGCTGCAGAGGCAGAAGCGCGTGAGGCCAGCGTCCCCGAGAACGCCGCCGGTCCCTGACGTGCAGGGCACGAGGGCCCCCAGCCCCGGGGACGGGGAGAGACCCTGGCGGCGGGCGGTGCCGGTCTGCCACCGAAAAACACATGTCGGGGAGAAAGGACCGCCGGCGACGGCGTCGCGCCCACGCAGTGAACGGGGCTCCTGGCCGCACTGCCCCCAGGGGCCAGGGGCAGGGCTGAGGGGACCGCCCCTCCTCCACACGGGAACGCGAGGGGCTCCCCTGACCCACGGAGGTGGCAGCGGGGGTTGGGGTCAGGGCTCGGTCTGACGGCCGGAGAATCACGGACTAAACCAGAGGCCCCCGGGGCCCCCCGAGGTGGGCTGGCCGGGGGCGCTGGGCAGACACCCAGCAGGAGCCTTCCCTCCAAACGGCCTGGGTTGCCCGTGGACCCTGTGCCTCCCGCCCCGCCATCGGGGAGGGTGCGAGGGAGAAGCTGACATGGAAGGAGGGGGCGGCCCCACGCTGCCCAGGGCGACGGAGACAACCACCTCCAGTGACCAGTGACCAGGCCGAGGCTGGGACCCCTGCAGAGAAGCCGAGGACGCGGGTGGCGGGTTGCACCACCTCCTCGCCCCCCCGCCCCCCGGGGGCCGGGCCCCGCGGCTCCCCGAGACCCCCTGCAGCACCCGCATCCCAAACGTGGCCCGGGCTCTGCTCTTCGTTGAAGAGTCGTCACCCCCACGGTGCCCCCCCCTGCGGCCGGCACCTCTGGTGCTGTTTCATCTGCGGGCGAAAGTACAAACTCTCCATCCTGTTTAGAACGGGCTGGAGTGTGACTTGCAGAAACACATTCCTCCCCGGGCGTCACGCTGCAAGAACGCCAGCAATGCAGGCGGGAGGGCGCGGGTCCCAGCGGTAACCGAAGAGCCCTCCTCCTCCTCCTCCTCCCCCTCCTCCTCCTCGGGCCGCCTGGCGGGTGGAGCGGGGCCAGGCGGACGGGGAGTTCAAGGAGGCGATCTGAGGCCATGCCTCGCCTCGCCTGCAAGTGGGAAATGGGTGAT